AAAGCAAACACAATAATGGTGTCCCCCCGTACTTCCTGTCTCCATTCTGATGATTAACCTGACCCCTCAACGTTTCATGTTCATTTTGTGTTAAATTCCTGATTTTCCCTCGAATCTTTTGTACCTAACACAGGTAGCATGCCTGGTTGAATTCCAGGGATTGTATCAAAACCTGTTTTCGTTATCAAAGGTAATTATTTAAAACCACTCAATACACATCGACGAGTGAATACAAAAGATGGACACAGATTATATAGAAATAGTTACGTCATCGACAGTCAGTCATTCTGTTATGTGATGGGGTACATTTTCATTTTAAACTGTTCATTAGGTTTCTTTTTAATTATTATATACATTTCAATATACATTTAAATCCCTTCAAAAGAATTAAAGCATTTTATAGAGATAATTTAAAATGCTGAAAATTTCCAGTGGGTAATTATGTCACACTGGCTGTAAATGACAGGTTATGTATTATGTGAAACAAATCTACATGAAAAGAAAATATTAAATTAAATATTAAATTCTATCAGAAGACTGTTTTTTTTAGCAGATTAATACCGAGAGCTCAATGTATTCATAGTAGACCACACGAGTGTGATGGTTAACTCAGTTAAAGGGGGCAGAACTCCTGGGTTAAAATGGGAAAATTGGAAGAGGCAGTCACCATGGGAGAGTGGACAAAGAAATGGGGGGAGGGGGAGATAAAGATAAGGGGGGATTGAGAGTTTGCAGACAGAAAGGAGAATCTGAATGAGAAGATAACAAACAGTGATCAATTTAAAAAAAAATCTACAAGAAAAACACATCTGTGTACAGCTATAGGGCATAAAACCCTGAAATTCCAGAGATGGAATCCTCAGGATGGATATGAGGAAACTGCATGTCAGGATGAGCATGAGGAAAGAATGGAAAGGAGGAGGAAGAAGGGACATGAGCGTGGGAGGAGGGGAAAGCTGTCATATCTGTTAATCCTCTCTTAGTGAGACACGGGGGTCTGACTGACTATTAACCTCATGCATTGTAAATTCAGTGGATCTATATTCATTAATTTGCTTCCATTTGAAAATATTATTGCAAAAAAAAAAAAAAATAAATAACTTCAGTTGAAATTTGGATTTTTTTGCACTTTACTATATTAATCCCCTCTATAGAAGACTTCAGGGTGCTTTAGGGGTGGGGGTTTCTTGTCAGGATAACTGGATTCTGATCCTTACAAAGGGAGTATTATTTTAACATGTAGAGAGTAACACTTGTGATACAATGTCAGTTGTTTAAAATGCATATTGCAAACATTATTATTGATTTTTAACAAAGCACCATGTAACACATGTTTAAGTTACCAGTTAAATTAGCTTGAAATTCAGATCTAATCTGCCATATTACATACACATCTATTCATCAATTCTAGTTCACGTAAAATAAAAACACAACTGTCTAACCCTTATAACCCTGTCTGAAAAATAAAATGAATCAACTGACCAAAGAAAATCTTAATATAGACAGAATGATCAGTTAATAGATATATTTTACCTGCAGCAAGAAGATTAAACAATGCTCAGTAAATCAAGGTAAATATAATCACAGGTAACTCCCAGGTGGAAATATAAGCCAGGTATCCTGACTTCATTTAAAACTGGTACATAAACGGTGGAATTTAGTTATCTCTGTATGTAACACTTGGGCTTGTAGACAATGAGTTTATGTATAAATACGTACCACACAGTGGATTTACCTTGAATTGTAAACAGAGAAATAAATAGGTAACAAAAACTCAATTATACCTGACTCAATGTTTACCTCTCAAGGTGTTAAAATCTACCTGTGGTTATATATGCAATTATGTCAAGAGAAGGTAATTGATGTTAATTAGTTTAGGTAATTAATTCCCTTTTATTTCTAATCCCTACCAGTGCTTTCACACTTTGTTTATTTATTTTTATTTTTACAGCCAATTATTTATTTAAATCAGATGATTAATTGTGAGAACTTGTGTGTTGGATTTTAAAATTAAATGCACAACTGATTAATACTTTTAAAGTTTCATACATTTTGAAAATAATTTCAAATTTAATTATACAGTCTCTTCGAGTTTATGGGTATCATAATAATGATTACACATTTATATTAAGACACATGTTATTACATATTTTGCACACTGTTAGAAATCATTAATATACAGATTATCTAAATATTCCTCATTACAATACTAATTAAGTTTCTTAAAGAACACAATTAATGCTACATATATACTGTACATGACATAGTCAGTATCAGAGGGAATGCTGGGATTGTGTCATACCTGATCTTTAATTCTTTATTAAACAACTTTAAGCCATACGGCCCATCAGTATACACAAAATTAACATAATTATACACGCATAGTGAGAGTCTACGGGGGGTGGAACCCCTAGTGTCCATCTGTCCGACTCCTCAACACCCAACAATTACACTAAGCATTAAATTCTCCATTATACATGAAAAATATCTATACATAATATACATATAAATTAAATTATTCATCATTTCTTAATATCAATGCATGAAAAATAAATTTCCCTAATCCAACTAAAACACAAACAACCAGATTACCACACCTGACACAGGTGACAAGGGCAGTGTTACCTGTATTCTTAGGTGAAACCTCCCCCACAATCTATTTATAGACTGTCGTCTCAAAGGTCAAAAACAATATCAACAAACATTTAAACAAGGATGAAGACCTCCCCCTTCCTCCTAGATTTATGTACTGGTTACAACTCCCCAAACAATCTAAATAATGAAAGTGTTCAAGTATCACAACATTGATTACTTGTATTAACCACTCAATAGCTCAAAAAGTCTTATTCTTTTAATACAGTAAATATATTAAATGGATAAACTTACCATAAGTTAGCTACTTCTATACTGTCATCACCTTCCAGAAACTGACTGATACAGGACAGAATTGTTAATGTGTTATCTGTTGATGGATAGACAGGCAGGTCTGCTGGTCTATCAAGAGTAAGGCTCACTGACATAGAATTACAATCTGTCAATATATAGACATACAGGTCTGCTGGTCTATCAAGAGTAAGGCTCACTGACATAGAATTACAATCTGTCAATATATAGACATACAGGTCTGCTGGTCTATCAAGAGTAAGGCTCACTGACATAGAATTACAATCTGTCAATATATAGACATACAGGTCTGCTGGTCTATGTCTGCTGACATTACCGGGGATCCGGGTCGAAATCCAAATCAAGTACTGTTAGTTGGTTCCAAAATAACATAGTAATGCTGCTGATGTGGATGTAGGGTCATTCCACCCCTTTATCTTTCAAGTTCTTTACTCTGGATGACACACTTGTCATTCTTCTTTCCAGAAAGGTTTTTCCATTGCAGAGAATGTAGATTATCATAAAATTCTTGACATTTGCTTGGAATGTGATTGTAAAAAAAATTTCTCTCATACACAGAGACAGGATTGACCATTTTTGTTTTAGTCCATTTTCAATAACAAAACTTCTCTATCTCTACTGTATTAAGATCATGTGATTTAAAAATAATAATATACATGTTGAGTACACTCACATACACCTGTGGACTAAGCTCATATGCATGTTGAGTACACTCACATACACCTGTGGACTAAGCTCATATACATGTTGAGTACACTCACATACACCTGTGGACTAAGCTCATATACATGTTGAGTACACTCACATACACCTGTGGACTAAGCTCATATGCATGTTGAGTACACTCACATACACCTGCGGACTAAGCTCATATACATGTTGAGTACACTCTCAAACACCTGTGGACTAAGCTCATATACATGTTGAGTACACTCTCAAACACCTGTGGACTAAGCTCATATACATGTTGAGTACACTCACATACACCTGTGGACTAAGCTCATATACATGTTGAGTACACTCACATACACCTGTGGACTAAGATCATATGCATGTTGAGTACACTCACATACACCTGTGGACTAAGCTCATATACATGTTGAGTACACTCTCAAACACCTGTGGACTAAGCTCATATACATGTTGAGTACACTCACATACACTTGTGGACTAAGCTCATATACATGTTGAGTACATCACATACACCTGTGGACTAAGCTCATATGCATGTTGAGTACACTCACATACACTTGTGGACTAAGCTCATATACATGTTGAGTACACTCTCAAACACCTGTGGACTAAGCTCATATACATGTTGAGTACACTCACATACACCTGTGGACTTAGCTCATATACATGTTGAGTACACTCACATACACTTGTGGACTAAGCTCATACTCATGTTGAGTACACTCACATACACCCGTGGAGTAAACTCACATACATGTTGAGTACACTCACATACACCTGTGGAGTAAGCTCGTATACATGTTGAGTACACTCACATACACCTGTGGAGTAAGCTCATATACATGTTGAGTACACGCACATACACCTGTGGACTAAGGTCATATACATGTTGAGTACACTCACATACACCTGTGGACTAAGCTCATATACATGTTGAGTACATGCACATACACCTGTGGACTAAGGTCATATACATGTTGAGTACACTCTCATACCAAGCAAACTCACATGCCTATCAAGTACACATTTACACTGCTAATTATGTTTCCACACTTGGTGACACAACACACACATACAAAGTACACTCACACACCTGCTAGGTACACAAGCACCTATTAACTTTTTTCCCATGTCCTGCAGCCAGGTAAATTTTGGTAGTATCTCATGTGTTTCTTTGACTGATGAATTTTCACTCACCTGTCAGATTTCATTACGAGATCTACACATGACTTCCATCTCTATTGACTTTCTATTCAAGTTTTACTGAGTATCTATTTAAATCTCTATTTACCCATAATTCCAGGTCACATTTCAACTTCTTGTTGAGTTCTATCTGAGTCGCATATGTGAGCCTAACTTACCTGTTGAGTTCTATCTGAGTTCTAAATGAGAGCCTAACTTACCTGTTGAGTTCTTTTTGAGTTCTGTAAGCAAGTGCTAGCTCATTATCTTCATTAACTAGGTCATCATTCCCTCCGTATGACTCTTTCGCGATGGCATGTGTTGTGATGCTTTTCTCTGCTAACATTGCCCGTAACTGTAAACACTCCTCACGACGTCTGTCTAACTCGTCAGCCATCGCTGTAAACTGGTCTGTAAACAACAAAGTAACCTTTACTCTAAGTGGTATTGTTGATAATGTTTGAAGTGCATAGTTCAAATCTAGATCTGATTGTTGTACAATTTGTTTCTAACTATTTTATGCATTGATCAATATCATTAAATAGAGGTTCAAGTAAAGTGTGTCCTTGATAAATTACATTCATTATTTTTATAACATTAACCTACATTTCCTCACTGCTTTCATCTCTTCTGACCTGGACTTAAATATAAATACAATTTTGTGCATCATGACTTTAACAGATTCTTTTTGTACAATAGCAGACACTGAATCATCGATTGGGCATAACTTTGATCTTGATGAAATTGTAAGTCCAAAATTGTCACTCAAACATAAAACATTTGGTAATTAAAGAAATACCAGAAATTTAAAGAATTTTTCTAAACATTTCATTACAATATTCTACAGTGTTGAGTAAAAAAATAGAACTAAAAGAAGCCTTGATCTGATAGTTTCTGCAGCAATTGGAATCCTTTAGTACGGGGTCATATCATTATACCTGTGTATCTGCTGTTGTTTTAAAACTTAAAATCACTTTGATTTTATAAAAAGATTTCAAATTGATTATCTCATTCTTTTTAGAACATATTTTTGATCTTACTTTATAACACTAAAATTTTACTCTCTTTCCTTATTTAAGATGATTACCTTTAAATACTCTCACTTGATCCTCTATTTTCTTAGCATCTTTTAAAATCAGCCAATCAAAGCAGAGAGAAACACAGCATGTTGTTAGTAACATCCAATCATTTCACAGTTAATAGTGATTATTGGGAGGACCAATCACACACCAAGCAGAGATCACATGACAACAAATCAACCAATCACAGTGAAGAGAAGCATGCAGATAGAAGGAATATATAGAAAGAGAAAACAGAAAACTAATCAACACTAACAAGGAATTCTCTACTGGCCAGCTAAAGAAAAACAAATAACTACAGAATACTGTAAATGTATTATATTTGGATTTGTATTCTTTTTAGCGCTTTTTGCATAGAGCAGCATCTGCTTACTCAAGTATATAGCTAGATGTCTTTACATGAAATATATGGAGGTAACGAACAGCATTCAAGCTCATATATATCTATATCTAACACATCTGAAATCAAATCTACACTTACATATTAATAAATTAATTTTTGCCAAATATACTTCATGCAAGTACAATACATTTACATTTTACTGAGGATTTTTTTAATTTGACTATTTCTATTTCTTTAAAATGTTCTAGACTAATTAGGGTGCCATGCCCTCTTGACAAAAGAAATAAAGTGTAAAAATGACTTTAAACATTCTCTGCCTGTAGAAACCAATATAACAAACATTAATGCAAGATAATTAGTATTTCAACATTAGTAACACAACACCACATAGACTGATTCTGAGCAAGCAATAAAATCACAAGTCACCACAAGTCCAATGACTATATATAGACTTACCCATAAACTCCTTGCCGGCGGGGGAATTAGTTCCTCCTTTCTCGAAGCTGACATTCTCGGAGATGGACTTCATTAACTTGGACACCTCTCTCTTCAGCTTATCGTTCTCATTCTGAAGCTCCTGCATCTGTTTAGGAGAACCAGTAAGAGTTATCTCTCTTTAAACAAATTTTGTAAGAGTTATCTCTATTTTTTAATTAAATTTTGAAAAAGTTATCTCTTGCATCAAATATTGTAAGGGTTATAGATTTTCATAATGGTATCCTTTCTTTAAACAAATTGAATGAGAAATTTTGTATGAGTTACCTCTCTTTAAACAAATTGAATAAGAATTCCATATTCTATGTAAGAGATTATACTTGCATTTGAAATTTCAAAGGTTACAATTTCAGTTTTCTCTCTTCTGAATGACCTAACTCTCTCAACATGATTAATATTATTTTTCTCAATTATAAAGAATTCAATATACAGGAAAGTAAATATCACAATACATGCATGAGATCTTATTATTTATATCAGACATTTTATAATACATAAAACATTCAAGGTAAATACAGAGGGGAGTGGAGGATGTGTGATGCAATTGGAAGACTCAGGAAATACAATAAATTTAGAACCTATACTGTAGGGGGAACAGATTTGATTACAAATTTCACCATGTATTTTATGGTTCTCTTTCAATTTTATAGAGGCATGTTATATTTTACCATGTAGATTTCTCATGAGATTTTCATGCAAAATGAACAATTGTTAATATCCAAGATGCTAATAATGTGAATTCATATCACTAATAATGTTCATGACTGCAGACAATCCAGGTTTTATTTTAGACTGAATTTTACATCAGGTCTAAATTAGATGGTAATCTTTCAGATTCTACAACCGTTCACGGTAGCTCAATCGGTAGAGCGCTCGCTCCGTGATCGGGAGGTCGTGAGTTCGAATCTCGGCCGCGACAGACCTAAGTCGATAAAAAATAGGTAGCAACTGTTCCTTCGCCATGCGCTCGGCACTTTGAAGTGAAAGTTGCGGGTCCTTCGGATGAGACCTTAAAAACCGAGGCCCCGTGTCACGGCAGGCGTTGGCACGATAAAGATCCCTCACTGCTCAATGGCCCTGAGTGCCGAGTAAAGGTCAAAATTTGAAGCCCTTCACCGGTATATGGTGACGTCTCTATATGAGTGAAAAATTCTCGAATGGGACGTAAAACAATATACAATCAATCAATCAATCAGATTCTACAGGTTAAGTTTGGTTATTATCATAATTTTGTTATTGTGATATCTCCCCTTTTAATCTAATACTGTATAATTTATTACATTGCTATTACTGTCCAATAAGTCTTTTTTCAAATAATGCTATTTTTTCCGTTCAGAGTTACCTCCTCTTTATTATCATGTGGAGGTTCCTTGTCTATATGTCCATTCATACTCTGTAACAAAGGCTGTAGCTATAGTCACATGACATAATGTGGTCACATGACAAAACAGCTAACTTGGTCACATGACAAACAGCCAACTTGGTCACATAACAAAAAGCAAACATGGTCACCTGTCAAAAAGCCAACATGGTCACCTGTTAAAAAGCTAACTTGGTCACATGAATTAAAGCTTACTGTTCTTAGGTACATGTAACTGGGTCATGTGACAGTTTACTGGGTCATGTGACAGTTTACTAGGTAATGTGACAGTTATTTGGGTCAAATTGCAACAAAAAGTTTTAAGTTGCTAGACTCTACTTTCAACACCTATATACTAATTAGAAGCTAAAAAAAAAAAATTGTGATTTTGCATAGTAAAGCAAAGTAAAGAAAACATTTAATGTAAAGCTTGACTATTGTTAAACTACACATCTAGTTAACTGTGAATTATTCACAGCTAGTCTGAAAGTCTGAAGTTCAATTTCTAAATTTCAGAGATATTTTGGAGAAAATCTACACGTAATTTTTTTTTTGGGGGGGGGGGGGGGGGGGGGGGGCTATCATGTCATTGTAAAGAACAGTGGACAATTTTGATCAACATTAACAACAAACATTAAAATGTGTTGACTCTGACATAATTTTATAGAACTAACTACAGACCAGTTTGTTCTTTGTTTCTGAAACCCTGTCCATCATTACCTTTAAGTTATTATAAGCAAACTCGGGGGTGGTGATTTTAAATCCCGATTTTTCCTCGTCCTCATCGTCCCTCTCATCAAGTTCATCAGCGAGCTTGGATTTTGTCATTTCAAGCTCAGCCACACGTTTCTGTAACTTGATCACGAGCTGAACATCGTCTGCGTTTACAAGCTGTTGCTGCAGGGGGAGGGGAGAGAAAAGATACAAAGGTCCGTGCATAAAATAAACAGGTGATCAAACAAAACCTCAGTGGTGGATCTAAGAGTTACAGGTATATTCTGTTGAATCTGAAGCGCTATTTTTTTCTCTGTTGTTTTCCTTTTCTTTATCTTTTAAGCTTATTGTTTTTTGTTTATGTTAGTTTGTTGTTTGTTTGTTTTTTCATTTTATTTTTATTTGCTATGGGTTCTTTAAGTTTTAAATCAATGAATTAATAACAAGAATCATTAAACATGGTAAAAATTCAAAATTGATTAATAAAGTAAATTTCTACATTCAACTTCAATTTTTATTCAGAAATTCTAGATCCACCACAAACAAGTACACACAAACAAGGAAAATTCAAGCATGCAACAAAAATCAAAACTCAGAATAAAAATTGAATTAAATGTACTACCTTAAGCTATGCCCAGCAAAACATGGGCATTTCCTACACAATACTTCAGCAGACGAGCAATTACAGGGGAGGTAACTTTGTGTAAGGGATATAACTCTTACTTCATGTCCCTTATGATGTTATACAAAAACTCGTTTCAGTTGAGTCATATGTAGCATCCTCAAGCTTAGGGTATTGTCTTATTTTCTGTCACCTGCCCTCTGATTCAACTCTCCATAATCAATTTAAAACAAATTTTAAGAGAGATAGTTCTTAAATTTAAGATAAGAGATTAAAACAGTTATCATTAAAACATAGAGCAATTCCCCTCACCTGAAGTACAATGGGAAAGAGAAAAAAGCTTATATGAGGAAGTTCTCCAAATAATTAACAAAAAAACAACCTTAAATGACAAGCAGAACACAGAATAAAATGTTTGTTTTTGAATTACAGAGAAATGTTTTTGATACATGTTGAAAATGGCCAAGACCCATTCTGTATATGTTAGATTTATTCTTCAGTGAGGTTTAAATAAATATTAAACAAGTTAGGGATTTATGATAAAACACATCATTTTCTTCTTAGGTCATGCACTTACACCAAGAGAAATTCACCCAAATCTGTTTAAAGCATTGATAAAGAGAGGCCTTAACCCCTCGAGTCATACAGGAGTTGTCTTCCTTGGTTAAGCTACCTGATGAGTACCCCCATTCTGTAATCAGGGATTTTTCTGTTTTCTGTTAGCTATCTTTTCCCTCATTTCTTTCATTTTATTATTCAAATTGTAACATGCTACAAACACTTTCTGAACAAAATTATCTGACACCTTTTCTACTTGAATGTACCAGGTACATAAATCTGCTACAAGGAATGACTGATCTTCATGGAAAAGTTTATTTCACAGAGTGATAATGGGTATATATTTCAAATAAGTATTCTTTGCTCAAATGTGTAAGGCTTACACCTAATATATTTGTAGAATATTCATTTAAGAGGGCCAACAAGGGTTTCCATTGCACAAACTTGTAGTGTTTACTTTGAAGTGAAAAAAAATGGATTTCTCCAAACAATTCTACAGTAAATATAAGTGTATTTTGAGATGGTCCCTAAAAATACCCAGCTGGTAGATTTTTCTGAAACTTTGCATGTACGCTAAAGTCAATGCAGGCTACAAATGGTATAAATTGAAGAGTTTCTCTTCTGTAAGTTTTAACAAACTAAATCCCCTTAAGTAAATCTACAACATTCAAAAATGGTTTGCTAATTGAGAAATATAATAAAATTGTCAAATTATCTTGACACTTTTCCAATTCACTTTTAAAAAATAAATTTAATTCAAAAAAAGACAAGGAATAAGTAGAAATAAAAAAAAATATAAATATGAATGAAATCTGTCCAGTACACAATGTTTAGATAGCCGTAACAGGTAGATATACATGTCTATAAATAGGATTTATAATTAAATCATTGTAATAAGTCCCATTCAACAATATAATGTAGACAAGTGAGTACAAATGTCCTTAAGACAGAGAACAAGTTAAAACTCAGCCTGTCGGTCTGTCTGTAATGCTGTGTAGCCTGCATAAGGAAATAGAGATAAATATGAGATGGAATAGAGTTATCTAACTTTAACCTGAAAGTTATCTCCCTTTTATCTATGTAAAATATTCATTGAGACAGAATTATTTCTTCTGTAATTAATATGTCAATTGTTTTCTGAATTATCATCTTCCTTTTGCCGAATCAATAAATATACTTATATCAAAGAAATATCACCCTTCTAGTTGTATACAAGCTGTAGTTTAGTAATAGTTGACAGAATTAGTAATTTAATTTGAAAGATTTTATAGAGAAAAGAAATGAAAAAGTGAAGAAGAGAAATAAATTTATTTTATTTTACAGAAGTATAGGAAGAAAAGCAAAAAATTTGATGACAAGTTTTCTTTAGTTACAAGATTTACTGGTGATTTTTTTTTCTTCTGTTTTTCAATTTTAAATGAGTTACCTCCCCTGAGACTTTATACAGAAATTTCTAACAAATTTAACATTTTTTTTTCTTTAACATCAGCACACACTTCATGCTCTATCACAACTATAATAAAATTTCATAAAATTTTACAAAGTAAGAACTAAAAAAAATATACATCCTAAACTTAAAACACTGAGTTTTAGCACACTGAAAAGGAAGAACAACATACAGTGTGAGGTCTGGTGATTGGCTAGGAGGAACTAATGCTGGACATTTGATTGGCTGGGAGGAATTAACACTGGACATTTGATTGGCTGGATAGGAATTAATGCTTGACATTTGATTGGCTAGAATGAGTAAATTCTGGGAATTTGATTGGCTGATAAGAATAAATTCTGGTAATTAGCATGAGTGGAGCAGGATAAATGTGAAATCTTTATGACAGAGGCTAAATCTGATGCTAGAAAGATTGAAAATTCAAATTCTTATTTGACAACAAAAAGAGAAGTTTTCCTTTTTTGTGTCCTGCAGCCTTCAAGTTCAATATATATTTGGGTGGGTGAGGGACTGATCCATCCCAGAAATGGTGAAACGTTTGATCCACTCCTGTGTTTTTTTCTAAGTACTGTAATGATTACACCTACCTTAAGAGCATCAAAAGCTGAGTTTGAGATAACATCGTCAGAGTTGCCTGCCCTTGGGTGACCCTCTTCTTCGTACTGCCTCAGCTTCTCCTCTAGTTTTGTTTTCTGTTGCTCAATTTCCTTCATCTTGTTCTGTAGCCTCAGAATCAAACCAACATCAACATCCTACAAAAAAAAAAAGTTTGATCCACCACTCATGACAGGGCAACTGCAAATTTTGAATCTTGGATCCACCACTGAGACACAGACTTAATTTTTTCCTAAGAAGTATGTATGGCTGAGAAACAGAAATATAAGTGGAAATAGAATTTATCCACTTGACCATGTGTATACAAAGATCCCAGTTCTCTGGATTTCTTTTAAAATAATAAATTAATTTCACTCTAGGCATTCATTAAGAATAGTCATAAAATAAATTTGTTTCCAGTGACATAGTTTCTAATTTTTTAGAAGAAAGTCTTACCTTCATTTCTTTCTCCATGGCACTTGCTGTGGGTACAGGAGGAGCAGGTGCCTTCTTCTTCTTCTTTGTTCCATAACCTTGATCCTATACATAAACAAGAGGCCCATGGGCCACAACGCTCACCTGAATAACTTTGGCCCTGCTGCTCTTCACCAGACGATCTTTTTGTAATACCTATTGTGACCCCGCCCTACCCATGGGGGTCATGATTCTAACAATTTGGAATCTACACTACCCCAGGATGTTTCCATATAAGTTTCAGCTTTACTGGCCAAGAGGTTCTTGAGGAGAAAATTTTTAAAGATTTTTCCTATATATTTCAATGTAAAACTTGGATTCCCTTTTGTGGCCCTGCCCTACCCCCAGGGGTCAAGATTTGAATAGTTTAGAAGTTACGCTGCCTCAGGATGCTTCTACAAAAGTCTTAGCATTCCTGACCAAGTGGTTCTTGAGAAGAAGATTTTTTTTCTATATATTTCAATATAAAAATTGGATTCCCTATTGTGGCCCCGCCCTTCCCCCGGGGGTCATGATTTTAACAATTTAGAATTTACACTACCCCAGCATGCTTCCACATAAGTTTCAGCTTTTCTGGCCCAGTGGTTCTTGAGAAGAAGATTTTTAAAGATTTTTCCTATATATTTCTATGTAAAACATTGATTCCACATTGTGGCCCCGCCCTACCCCCGGGGGTCATGATTTGAACAATTTAGAATCTACACTACCCCAGGATGCTTCCATATAAGTTTCAGCTTTACTGGCCCTGTGGTTCTTGAGAAGAAGATTTTTTAATGACCCCACCCTATTTTTGTCTTCTCTTGATTATCTCCCCTTGTGAGGGGACTTGCCCCTTCATGTTAACAATTTAAATTCCCCTTCACCCAAGGATGCTTTGTACCAAGTTTGGTCAAAATTGGCCCAGTGGTTCTTGAGAAGAAGTCAAAAATGTGAAAAGTTTACAGACGGACGGACAGACAGACAGACGGACAGACAGACAGACAGACGGACAGACGGACGGACGGACGACGGACAAAATGTGATCAGAAAAGCTCACTTGAGCCTTCGGCTCAGGTGAGCTAAAAAACCCATCAACACCACAATTTCATCATCTCTTTGTTTACTCAAACAAAATTTGCTTTGAAGACAATGATTTTCCAAAAGAAATCTAAGTCATAAATAAAATAAAAACAATTCCATCATATTACAATTTTTTGGGAGGAATTAATCTATTTTCCCCTTACAGTAAGAGTTATCTCTCTTATAAGAAGGTAAATGAGCCTTAAGTTACTTACCTTGTCCTCTGGTGCCTCCTCCTCATACTTGACTTCGTCAGGGGACGCAGAGCTGGTGTAGGACTCCAGACTTATCGCACTGATGTCAGACGGAGTCCGCTTGTGGCCGTGTGGTGACGTCACCATCTGCATCTCAGACTGTAGATTCTCGAACCTCTGCTGGAGTCGAGCGTGCTCTTTAACGAGTCTCTGGTGGTGGCTACGCTCGGAATCAAACTCAGCCTGGAGTTGTTGGGTAGCTTCCTCTAATTTCCTCTTTAGCACATCTTAAATGATAAATAAAATCATTATGCAGATTCGTGATCCACCACTATTTCTAATATATTAATCGAAAGAAACCTTGGATCCCCCTACCATCCGTGCTGGTCTCCTGTTGCTGTAATTTAAGGTTGGCCTCCTCTAGTTCTTCCTTCAGTTTACATTTCTCCTCTGCCATCTTACTTAACACCTGTAACAAACAAGAATAGGTAGATATTGCTTTATGAATACAAGTAAAAGGCTAAGCCTTCTCATTCTCACTTTATTTTGTGTGTATTCCTTTAGTAGCTATGAGGACTTATTTCTCCTTTTTCTTTCTTTCTCTCATCCTTGTGCTTTTCTATTTTTAACTCTTTTTTGTGATAAGAACCTCTTCCTTTCTCTCTCTCTCTCTCTCTCTCTGTTACCTGTGTGTGTTCCTTCAACAGTCCTTTCTCAATATGATGACCTGCCTCCTACATCCCCCATCTCTCTCTCTCTCTCTCTGTTTTCCTTCTGTAATTTCTCTTTCTCAGTGACAAGGACCTGTTTTTCTCTCTCTCTCTCCATCTTCCCCTGTTTCTCTCTCACCTGTGTATGTTCCTTCACTAACTCCCCTTTCTCTGTGATGAGGACCTGTTCTCTCTCTCTCTCACCTGTGTATGTTCCTCCACTAACTCGTCTTACTCTGTGATGAGGACCTGTTTGTCCTCCCCCCCTCTCTCTCTCTTTCTCTTACCTGTGTGTGTTCCTTCACTAACTCCTCTTTTTCTGTGATGAGGACCTGCTTGTCCTCCCTCTCTTTACTGAGTTCTTCCTGGAGGTCCTTGATTTGCTGTATCAGGTCCGTGATCTTGTTTGAGGACTTCTTGGCCTCCTCACTCGAGGACCTCAGCTTCTCCATCTCAGTCTTCAGTTGTTTAATGTAAACCTCTTGTTCTTTTATGGTCATACCCTCCTTGTTCTGTAATAAAACACAGTAAGAATTTATATTTCTGATCCATGTATAATTCAGATGATGTAGGTAATATTTGAATTCTTTATCTGCTGGTGAGTATCTCAATCTCCACACAAGCAGAATAATCTGATTCAGAGTCGCACCATACAATTTAACTTGGTTATAAAGAACTTCCTTATTTTTCACTGTTTCTAACACTGATATAAAGAATCTCTATTATAAAGAATTCTAATTCAACATCACGGTGACTTACTTATACTGATCTTTTACTGTATCTACACACTATTTCAATTCATATCCACACCCTATTTTTTGAATCAGATCCACACCCCAATTTTGATTCAGATGCACTCCCTATTTTGTACAATTTTTGGATCCCCTCCCTTACCTTGGCATCCAGTTTCTGTTGTAGCTGTATGATCTTGTTCTCCAGGCCTTTGTTAACATTCTTAATGTGTTCCACAGACTTAGCCTCAATCTGAAATCAAAGCATGAAACTGAAAGTACATAACTACAAACTGAAAGTACACAACTACAAACTGAAAGTACATAAATACAAACTGAAAGTACATAACTACAAACTGAAAGTATATAACTACAAGCTAAAAACTGAAAGAGAATAACTACATGTTGAAAGTTAAAAAACCTGCAAACTGAACGTAATTTATCAATTTAAGAAGTTCAGTTGACGGGATGCTTCTCCTTAATCATCAACTGAATATTAGAGAAATTAGTTATAACTTTCAGGATCCTGTATATTAAGATAGAATATTTCATATTTGGATTTCAGATTTTCTATTAAACATCATGACATGTATTTGAAACAAAATCTATATGATAATCACATCTATTATTAATCCAAGCTTAATGAATGCTACCTGCTTAATCAGTGATTACAATCAAAATAAATTCCAATAATTAACACTCCCTAACAATTACTCTTGCTTTATGCTGACTTAATGCCCCCTACCTTGAGTTGTTTAAGCTCCTTCTTGGCTCGGCGTCGTCGGAAGTGACTCTGTAGTAACACGATCCCCCGCATTACTCTCTTGTACCTCTTCCTGGCCAGCCAGGATCGTACGAGTTTCTGAATCGTGATCGCGCGATGTTCATGTAGCTCCTTCTTAAACAGAATGCGTCCAAAGAATCCTCGAATGGCTGACTGTTAAAAGACCACAAAGCTAAATTAATGGTTGTTTTCATAAGGAAATACACATTGATATGTTAGGTTGGGACATTATTTTTAAGGTCTCATTCAATGGACCCAGACACGAGATGCTAAGGATTCAGTGAGGTTTTATTATATGCTGCTCTGATTACAATCTCTTGGCGAGAAATAAGCAGTTTCTTAGAGTTCCTGTATGGAAGGTTTTATAATCATGAAGGAAAAGAGAAGGAATAGATGAAGAAATTGAATGACTTACTTGTATAATAATGGTAGATTTCCTGACTTTGATATAATGTGACCTTGCTTTGTAACCCTTCCAGTGTTTTTGAATACGAGTGGCGGCAAACGTTTCCCGTAGAAATTTGGCATGTCTGAAAAAAAATTAAATGTACTGTTTTACTATCTTTGACTATTGAAGGTTAGAAACTTACATCAATATATATAGAGATATTTATTCAGAATATCACAGAAGAGTGTTAGGAGGTAATATTCAGCATTTATCAATTGACCTTCTAGCCAGCAAACCCCACCCATATCTTTAATACTCATTAACTGACCTCGAGACCAGAACCCCCCCCCCCCCCCCATATTTTTATATTCATAAATCAAAATGACCTCCAGGCCAGTAAATCCCTGCCCTTATTTAAATTAATTTAACTGACCTTCTGGCCAGCAGACCCCGCCCATATTTCTGTAACAGGGTGATGGACTTCATGATTCGTTGATATCGTCGTCGTGCCAACCAGCCTTTGACGTGTTTCTGTATCATGATTCCGCACGCCTTCAGTTTATCGGAGCGTAACTTCTCCAGGTAAGCCACCTGACCCGCGCGGAAAAATATCTTGGTTTTTCCAAATCTGTACTTGTCTGGATCCTGTGAAAATGAAAGTGAAAGTAGAAAAAAAAAAAAAAACGGCCTAGATTTTATGCTTTTTTTTAAAATAGCAAAAATTTTAAGTTTTTAACTATCTTTTGAATTAAGAAGAAAAGATAAAAAAAAAACATGTTCTTAAATACTAATCAAACATTTTCCACGGTATTCAAACCATGCAAAAATCATTTGCAAATTCTCTTTCCAAGAGTTTTTTTTTTTCAACTTTTGAAATTGCCAAGCAACATGCTTTTTTCAAACATTTAACAGACTGACATTTAAAGGGCTATCATTCAGTTTCAAATTTTTAAATTTAAATGAAATAGTTCTCTTCTATATCTTAAATGACTTATCATTAACAGTTAAATATACCCCTCTCAGAATCATATCTTAGAAATGTTAGATTCCTATTATTTCCACAGGGCAATGTTATGGTTAGCTATATAAATAATCCTTGTGAAGAAACAGACATATAAGCTTATGGATGACTACAGAATTGTGGAATTAGACCTTAAAGGTGCTTAGACACAGATTTGAACTTAATATTTTCTCAAATTTTCTGTATAATATCATGACTTATATATTGAAATAGCATTTCACACGAAATTATAATTAAATACTTATTTTATCTGGAAATTATTGGAACTACAAATTCCGGGATGCATTTGAATAACACATACAGGTGACTCTCGATGGCTCGAACTCCGATCTCTCGAAGTTCTCGATCTCTCGAAGTGAACCTCCGGTCCCGTTTTTTTCCTCTATATAACTAAGCAAATTTACTCCCTATCTCTCAAACTCATGATCTCTCGAAGTTCTCTATCTCTCGAACCAAGACCTGGGTCCCGTTGCACATATTTCATTGTTATTTACTCTCTATCTCTCGAATGTTTGATTGCGCGTGTATACACGTCAATCAAGCGTAAAATTATGATGCAGCTTTGACTTACCTGAATAACAGTGAACGCCTGGGGCTGGGATGGACGTGTTAATTGGGTGTTTACATAGATGATACTACACCTGTATGTCGTCCGAGGTTAATTGGTAAATTATAAACTAATCTCTTCAAATCTTATTTTGACTGGACATGACGATAAATTTGAGAAAATAATTTAGGAACGTGTCAGTAATTTCCCATAGATTGTGAACTTTAACATCATTAGAGTCTACACAATCCCAGTTTGGCAAACATTGCACAAGAAATTCTATCTCAAGAATTGTATACCGATTACGGGCAATCTTGTGAAGGACCGTTCAAGCCCGCGCCAGGGGGATAGTCAAATAGACAGTTGCTATTCAGGTTTCGTGTAATCATTAATTGAGAACAAATAAATATTGAAACTTAAAATAATCATTTTATTTATTCAAATACGATCACTGTTGTTGAAATGAAGTAAATTACCTCTAAAATACGAATGAAAACGTGTAATGACATTATCAACATATACTTCCGGTATGTATGATAGTTAAACAATGATGATCGAAACTGAAAATTCCAGATTTTATTCACTTTCTATCTCTCGAACCCCCTAATCTCTCGAACTTTTCTTACGGTCCCTTGAACTTCGAGAGATCGAGAGTCACCTGTATTTACACTTACACAAATTTTAACTTTATCCTTATCATATAAGAAAAGATTTTGTTATATTACATCTATAATACAGAAAATTCAGAGCAGTAAAGTTCGAAAGCAAAACCAACTCACCAGTATTGTCCGTCTGTGCTCTGTGATGTGTACAAAGTTTAACAAATTGAACACACCCGTGAAACGTAAACTGTTTTTGTAAACAGGGCACGAGCTCTGTTATTGTTAATGTTTACGATTCATCGGGTGTGTTCAATTGTTAATATTTACATTTCCAATAAATTTCCCCTATGATTCTTTACAAAATAGAATACAGTTCATTTTCTCATGAACTACCATGAATGGGCATGAATATCTCCATTGTTACGTCATAATACCTCACTTGACGTCAAAACTAAAGTGCAAACTCTTTTGCTTTAAAATGACAGTTGAATGGTGTTATATGAGACATATCATTAGAAAAATAATGTAAATATAAGAAATGAATTTAATTTTTTGAAAATTCATGAGGTACATGAACTACAACGCTTCACGCCGGCATATTTATCATGAAGCGCTACCGCGCTTCATGAAATATGTCAGCGTGAAGCGTCGTAGTTCATGTACTCATGAATCTTCAAAAATTAAATTCATTTCTTAAAACTCTGCGCACACCACTGAGCATGGACTTACAATACTGTGAGTGGGTTTTGCTTTCGAACATTTCTACTCTGAATTTTCTGGGTTATAGTTTTAATATTTTTCATTAACTCTTTCCCCCTCACAAGCGCCTCTCGACGCCTAGCCAGGATTTCCGCACAAGCGTCTCTCGACGCCCATCCATGATTACCGCACTAGCGTCTCTCGACGCCTATACAGAATTTCCGCACAAGCGCCTTTCGACGTCTTGTTATTTTAAGACTATGTGAAAACGAGACTATGACGTCGTCAACTTTGGGGCAGGTATCAAATTGAAGCGTTATTATTGGCCTACAAAAATAAAGTATGTGCACTGTCATCAATTCACGTGTACCTATAAATAAAGATGGTTTTTACCTTGTATGGTAGGAAAAACAAAAGTTGTTAATTCAAAATGGCGGATTACGAACAATGTACGGTGAGATTATTTCTATTCACGCGACGATTTAGATAAACTTTATGGGCTTAGGATGCTGAATCGAATACATATATTCATAAAGAATTCATTTGTGCAGAAAAAATTAATTTGGAACATTATAATTGGCCAGAAAACCTTCGACATTTCATGGCGTGCGAGTTGAAAGTCACATGGCCAGTATTCCAGAGCCGATTTTTGTGTAAAAACAACTGCAACAAAAGATTTCTTGGGTGATATGTTTTCTCCAAACATTATTATAGACTATGTGCATCACAAAAATAAAAGTGCACAGCGAATAAATGCACAGAAGAGAAAGGAAGACTGCGTCTGGTACAAAATCACTGAAGCAGAAAAGAAGGCTTACTTGGCCAAAAAAAAGAAATTAAAAAGATTATCCGTTTGTGTAAACTTCGCAGTGTGCATCTATGCAAAATGTGGATCTTTTCACATACCAAAATAGACATTGAAACCTTTTTATTGACTGTAAAATGATTAAATTCTAAATATTTTGTCATGAAAAATGTGTGTATATACGCTGACTCTTGACATTTACCAAACTTTTTCTTAGTTTAAAAATAAAGGATTGGCTTTAAGTTATCATCATTGTAAAGATGAGATTGTGCTGAAAATAAAAATACTTAGTTTTATATACTTTTACCCAATAATTTGAGAGTAATAAGAATAAATATAAAGCACTGTGATTTTTTTCTTTATTTCTGAAAATGCCTGAGTAAATGGGGTTATCACTGATGCTAGACTGCTGTGGAGATAAGGCTGCAGCAGTGGCTTGCTACGGGAGTATACAGTAACGCCTTATCTTCAAAGCTCTGAGGGGGAAAGAGTTAATACACAACAAAATTGCCACAAGAATAAAATTAAAATATGTGAAAGCGCAAGGATGTGTCAATCCAACGTGTCCAGAAATTCGAAGTTTTAATAACTTCGAGATGAAATAAGATTTTTATTATATTTTAGTATGAAATGCTATAGCAACATATAAGTCATGAAATTATACAGAAAATTTGAGAAAATATTAACTTTAAATCTGTGTCCAAGCACCTTTAAATGATGAATTGTGTGGGGGATAGGATCCAGTAAGTCATTGTTAATCCACCTACTGACAATTTCAGAATGACAAACCACTTTATGAATTTTAACCTTGTTATACCATTCCACCCAAAGGTAATTTATAAAACATCAACTGTTTCAACCCTTTCAGTCTACACTTAACTTATTAATTGAATAATTACTCTTATACAGTATCAAGATCTTTGTTTCTCTTCTAAATTGTGTAAACTCTGAGCACTAAGTATGTATAAACATAGATGTCGGAAACTTTTTTTTTGCAAAGATAGACATAATATAGTCATAAAAATTGTGGTTTAGCCCCCCAAACTTTTTTGTTGGTTTAACCCCCACCCACCCCATTTTCAATTTGCTTCCAATGCCTATGATATATGTATAAGTTTTGTAAATTGTGTAATCTCTGAACACTTATTATGTATATAATTATGTGTAAATTTTAACAAATCTTGGTTTTTTGCCCCATTGATACAAAATATTTTCTGTAGCTAACAAGGATTTCTAACTGAAAATACTATTAAGCCCGGTACACACATTGCAATCAATCCCATGCAATATTTGTTCTCCATACACATGCTGCAAATCATTGCAAACATTTCTTCCATTTTCCCTTCAAAACTTTACATTAATTTACAACAAAGTTGTATTGAAGATTAAACCCAAATATCCAGACAGGTCAAACTTAGTCCTGGCCTTTACACTGAAAATCTCATTGACAAGCACTCATCTTTCTATTTGTGAAAAATTCAATGTTGCTACAAAATCATGGATACATTTCCCAATGCCAACCTAAAATCATGGACTATCATGGGCTAGCTCTGATACTACTCTTAGGAGAGAAAGAAAAGAGTCCAGAATAAATGCTGATAAATATTCATAACACAAACTAATAAATATTCATAATGCAGATTAATAAATATTCATAAAACATGTTAATGAATATTCATAATACAAACTAAATTAATAATAAATATGCATAATAAAGATTAAAGAATATTCAAAATACAAACTAATAACTGAATAAATAACAAGTTATAGAACAGTGTTACATGTATAACAGTGAAATAACAGAAGTTATTGATACCTCGAGACCTCGTGGTGTCTTCTTCACATTACCCTGATAGATCAAGGCGAGCAATAAACATTATAAGTACACATACAAATTGTACAGACAGATCTTAACATCTCATACATTATGTTCACATTACCCTGATAGATCAAGGTGAGCAGTGATCATCATAAGTAGACATACATATAGTACAGAGTTAATATAAAGACAGATCAGGTCATCTCATACATAATTTAGATCATTCATCAGTATTGTATACAAACGTGCATAATAATAAATTATAAAATAATTTAAATGTAGAGTCACCAATATATGAAGGTCTCATTGACAACTGAAATGGCGTTTGTCAAATTTAATTTTTTTTGTACAGAATTGAAGATCTATAACTTAAAGAAAATCATGTCCATGCAAAGAAATGACTGATTGTACAACAGGGGCGGATTATGACATTTTCTTGGACCCCCACCTTACTACTGTAAAAGTACAGTAGAGAATACTTAGATCCCTGGCCTCATGAGAGTAATACTGAGAGACTTCTTTGATTTCTTCCTCATCTGAGGTAAATTTGGATCAAAAACTAGTACCCTATACACAATTGAGAGAACTCTTGGATCCCCCAGCTCCATACAGTAATATTAAGTGAGAGAGTTCTTGGATCCCCCTACCTGTATGACTTTGGTGAGGATATTTTCACACGTCTTTCTCTGGTCACTCCTGTTGATGTCTTTAGAGCCAGCCAGGACTCTGTATCTCTGGAAAAACTCCGGATAGCTCCATCTATAAATAGACAACCAATCAGAATCCTTAAAAATAGATAATGGATACATGTATGGATAAACTACCTGGCTACCACTATAGGTTTGAACAGTTACTTATATCCAGTACAGGTGAGGACAGTTACCTGGATGGATATCCAGCAGCACTGATTCTTATGGTTTCTAACACACCACAGGCTCTCAGCTGTTCCACGGCTCGCTTTGGTTCAAATCTACATCAACACAACAGAGTTGAAGTATTTACATGTGTTTCAGATCTCCTTATTGTCCAAAATAAACAAAGCAGCAATACTAGCTATTCTGGATCTTACTCTATCACAATAACATTTAGAGGATTAAAGAAATGATTCAGAAAATACTACAATATTCCATATATTTATTCTGATTACATTCTGTAACTGTGAAGAAGACTGATTTCTAAAACTTTTTCTCCCAAGCTTTTCTTATTCCTTACTGGAATTCTGATGAAAATAAAGGGAGTAAGGTTAGAAGTCTCTGTGGATATATCAACTGACATTATACACCAAGAGAGAGTGAATGTTTTATAATGATTTTTGACAAAGTTGGAGGTAATTAATGGAGTCAAGATTGATGGAGTTCTGGGAGTTTTGTTTTGTCACATTTATTTAATGTTTGTATATGGGGGCCTGTGACTTACATGAATGCCTTTGTGTCGTTGGGTTTGATACATCTGATACAGTGCAGCGTCGTGGCGTTTAATGTTTGTATATGAAGTGTTAGGACTTACATAAATACCTCCTATGTGTCGTTGGGTTTGATACATCTGATATGGTGCGGCGTCGTGGCGTTTAATGTTTGTATATGAATCGAAGTGTTAGGACTTACATGAATACCTCCTTTGTGTCGTTGGGTTTGATACATCTGATATAGTGCGGCGTCGTGGCGTTTAATGTTTGTATATGAAGTGTTAGGACTTACATGAAGGCCTCCTTTGTGTCGTTGGGTTTGATACATCTGATATAGTGTGGCGTCGTGGCATTTAATGTTTCCATCAATTTATGTAGTGACTCTCGGAACTGCAAACAACAAAAAAAGTCATCATAGAACCTGATCAAACACAGTAAAATTGCAGCGCTTGGAACTCTGTTAGCATTACTAATCTTGTTATTCTAATCTCCTAAACTTAAATCAAAGAATAGCAATAAATTAACTACAATGTTACCAAATGACTTCAAACTTTTGACACTAAATCTGTATCATTACAACTGTGTATTTTACTTCACATATTTGAATATGAAATATAATACATTATTAAAATTTGATCCATGTATTGTCACAGTCAGTCTTGTTTTTATTTATCCTAAAAAAGAATCAGTATACATGTACAATTATGAATGCATTTGTACATATATATTTATAAAATCAAAGATGAAGATTTTCAGGAATATACATGTACATTTTAAAATTTTTAGAATTTTTTGTGACATCTCAAATGAGTATTGTGATGTCATAATGAGATGCAATTAGGTCATGATATATATGGCTTTACCTTATTACATACAGTGACCTACTTTTCTGACATAATTCATTTTATGGTTCTTTTCAGAGGAAATTTTTAATATTCGTGTACTAAATCAAAATTAATAAATTTTGCTTTCTTCAAATTTGATTCAAATTAATCACTTTGCTGAAGTCAAACCATGTAGGCCATTAAATAAAAACAAATCACTAAAATTAAGATCTATGGTATACTTCTTCTGTCCTATATTGACTATATACTATAACCCAACCACCATCAGTAAACAAACTCTCTATTGGTTAAATTTCTGTAACTTAGCAACTGTTAGTAAACAAACAATCTTGGTTATGGGGAAAGCAGATCACACCCAAAACACAAATACTGTAGATAAATAGATTATAATGTATATACACTAAAACTTGTCTAATCCGGATGTTGTGAATTCTGAAACCTTGCTTAATATGATGTAAACTTTAAAGTCCCTTCCAATAAATTTAATTGTTTAAAATGTTGTCCAATCTGGAACACTGTCTAATCCGCCCAATTCCTTTGGAACCAGTTGTGGCCGGATTAGACAAGTTTAACCGTATAAACAAATACTTCTGCTTAGAACTTATGTAAATGTACAATATTTACTATCTAGTTTACCCCCCCTTTTTATGTCAGTTTTTGCTTTCAATCATGCAACTCTTTTTCTCTTGTGTATATGTAAGCTGGTACAAAAAATGGCCAAAAAATATACCAAATAAAAAAAATGTTTACATCCACACTTGCCCTATTTTGTGTACATGTTTTCTAACTAACCTTTTAAATTCAATTACATTAGTTAAAGTCTCAACAAAATGCATTAACGACCAACTGTCATTTTACAATCATCCTATGAATGCTTTGAATCAACAATTCAAGCAGCATAAAATTCCCGTGATACAATACTTAACCACTTATAATGTATGAACATTAAAATTTCTCATTATACTTTATATATTTTGATATATATCATAGTGTATTGTTCAATGTAACTATGTAATTCTTCTCTTCTTTGCCACCAAATTAAACCTCTGAAGTCCCAACACAAACACATGAAGGTCTGATTAAGTTAAAGAGATTACAGGAATAATGAATAGGATTAATTCACAAATATGAATATGCAACAAACATCATTAATACATGTATGTGTAACATAATTCTGAGTAACAGGAAAACTGGCAAACTCAGGAACAAATATAGCTAGTAAACAAGATGAGTTTTGTTCCCGCCATGTGATATACACTGGTCTTGGAACTATATTAGTTTGGTTCCCCACTACATTGATACATATAAGCCAGAGAACCAGTTTAGTATGGTAACCATAGTAACCACTACAACAATACCTGATCTCCCACTGTGGCTTTCTGTACTTGCTAAAAATTAACAACACTCAGTAGTAATGTGGATATAAAGCCATCAGATTAAATTTACTGTTAAGGTATCACATTTGGCTGTGTATTCTTTTTAGCGCATTTGGCAGAAAACAACTTCCTCTAATTCAAGTACAATGCTAAATGTCTTGCACATATATACATGTACATACATGTTAATAAGAACTTTAAGAAACGATCTTAATCAAATCTAGCCAGCTTGTTCAAAAGTCAATTTCCACCAAATATTGTACACACTAAATATAATACATTTACAATATGTTTGAAACACAGAAATATTCCTCAATATCATAGAGAAAAGCTCTGAAAGATAATTGTATCTGAATTCTTGGTTTGAAAATTTTATTTTTACACAAGATACACATAAAATAGATGATAATATTTTGCAAATATATTTTTCTTAAAGCTTTAAATGAGGTGAATGACAAATCAGTCCTTATTAATCAGAAAGATAATGTGCACGATGTTACATTACACTTTCACAATTAGAATATTTTTTTAGTTTAAAGCTTAAGGACCATTCTGAAGCTTCAGTTAATTTAGCAGTATGAAAACTGATTAAGAGTTTGCATTAACATTACTCTGATAAATACTCTTTGCTTTAATTCTAGTACTGAGTACATGTGTACTCATTCTGAGTATGTGTGTACTGACCTGTGATCCAACTGTCTTTTTGTTTGAGCCCCGCCCTCCCTTTGGAGCCTGCCTAAGGGGGTGAGTTGTTGCCGAGCCTGCTCGAGATTTCTTCTCATTGGGATCAACTTTCTCTTCAAACAACTCAGCCACAAGCTCAAACTACAACATATAAAATGATAGAGGTATATATGAGCTCAAACTACAGATATCATTAACTCTTGTGTTCACAAGTATTTCCGTAACATATTTTATTGTATGTATACATATTTACACAACATATATTCTCATAAATCACAAATTTGTTTTTATTTATTAAAATAAAATTCTGACTCTATGTTCAAAAAATGAGAAACCCGCTGTGTAAGGGGAGATAACTGACCTCGCTGGCTCTCAGTATATTGATGTTTTCCTCGAGTACTGTGTCTCGGTTTTTCTCTAGGAATCCATCAGCCTGATACTCAACTCTGTCCGCGAAGTGGTTAATGATAAACGCTGACCGTGACATTCGAGGTTTCTCAAAATGTTTGGCCTTCCCCAGGTGTTTATCATACAGCTTCTGACACCAATTCTCATCCGAACCCTTCGGCATCTGTAAGGGAAACAATACATACTTACTGGACACGAACAATAACTTTACAGCGGTACTTATTTTACAGAACTTAGTACGAAATTCACTGTACATCAGTACAGTAAAATATGCTTAAATTGAAGTACCAGGGACCAACAATTTTGATTTATTATAAATATAACTCATTATATCCATTCAGTTGACTAGATATTTTAAAACATCAGGAATAAAAATCACTTCGCTATTAATAACTGTGTTTCACTGTACTTATATATCTTAATTACTTTGTATCAGTACTTAAATGTAACAGAATTTACTTTACATCAGTACTTACAGACCCTGAAACGTGCTACTACCCCACACGCACGCTGCACGAACGGTACACGCTCGCTATACGGTTTGCACGAAACGCTGCACGGTTTACATGAAACGCTACACGGTTTGCACGAAACGCTACACGGTTTACACGAAACGCTTTGCACGAAAGGCTGCACGGTTTACACGAAAGCCTGCACGAAACCCTTTGTACACGTTTCTCACACGCTTTGTACACGATTCTCGCACGCTTTGGCCTCGATCTGGATTTTCTATTCGGAATCTCTCGGACTTTATTTCAATTATTACGGATTAATCAAAGATTAGTTAAGAATTGCAATCATTCAGATTAAGATTAAAAGTCGCTACACCAGTACTATATTAACAGGTAAAATACTCAATCTTCGGTTGTAATTAATTAATACAGATGTAGTTATCATTGAGTATGTGCCCGCTCGGTGAAATGCTTATCATCGTCTATGTACAAACCTTTTTAAATAGACTCTAAATTACGCACTGAAAAAAATAATTATATTTTAATTCATAATCTTTTATAGCATCCAATGTTTTTACAATTATCCTATAGTTTGATATTAAAAAGTCGTTTCATTACTGACAAATAAACTCAGTTATTGATTTGAAAAAAAAAATGATTAAATTGCGTATGGATTTTGAAAGCGAATCGATTTTCTTTTCTTTCTTATTTAATTATTGATTGATTTATTCATTTTTTGATTTATAAAAAAATATATATTCATTGGATTAGATTAGGTTCTGTTTATAATTTGAAAAAGTGACATGTAAACTACATTGTCCAGGAAGGGGGGGGGGGGGGGGGGGTAGATTACCGAGATCTTGCTGTTGTATATTCAAATCTGTACACGGCTAAATATAACGGGCACTTGTTTCAGTTAGTATAACATTGGGGGAAATATTATTATAGAAACAGGTGCCCATTCTAAGAAAATAAAAGGATATCCTGAGGGACCAGATACATGTAATTCATTAAATGCACTTTATTCAGAATGATAAGTAATCGTTTCATTACAGAGTTAAACTTTATCATAAAATTTTATACAGTAGAGAAGCCGGGGAGAAAGGTATTGTAATTCTTTAGTTCTCGTTTGAGGCATTGTGTTTATCAAATAAAAACAATATATCCACCACCTTGTAAAATCCTTGATTTCAAACCCCGTCTGGACAATTAAAAAAAAGTAATCAAAAGTCGCGGCTTTTAGTAATACATTCAATATACATGTATGTACATGTCCTATGTCCTATAAACTAAAAATTATGTTCTGTAATTGCGTGATTAATAAAACAACTAATAATTATACTGTACTCAAGATTTATTTCTATATATTTTTTTTATTCGCGAATACACTGGCAAATTAATTCACTGTTTACAGACAATCGGATAAATTTAAGAAATAAAATCCACGGACCGTATTGATTTGTACCCATTAAATACTAATAAAACGATTTAATTTCACTAATCAAAATCAATCGTTATTGTCCCGTGTCATCTTAGCTATGATTGACAAGAGATAATAACAGAACAAGTTTTCAGTTCCCGGCACGAGGTGCCCGTGATCGCTTTTGTGAATGACCTTGATCACTGTCGTAAGAAGAGTGTTGGAAGTGTAAAGAAGATTCTAGTATATTTTTAAGGGGTGCATCGGGCGCACCCCGAAAAAGAGCAATAGATTTCTTTAAAAACAAAATTATATATAAAACACTTAACAACAAAAGCTCAGTTTGTGTTTTCATTTGAACATCCCCCCCCCCCCCCCCCGGAAATAATTTACCCTGTATTTGCCGAAGCATGTGGATTATAATTCATTTATGTGACAATTATTAATCAACCAATTGTATGCATAAAAAGACTATAAATAACTCTTCGTTTCAAAATTATTTGTAACACAATCTTGTGATATAAGAAAATTATGTTCGTTTATAAAGAAAATGAATTAACTGTGCTCCCCGGCCTAGAATTCCCATACTTCACATTTATAGCAACGCACTAAATTTTGTATTTTATTTTTCACGCCTGCCTTATCTATCTAGTATTATTTTGTATTAATCACCCATATGTTCCTGTAATCTTTATATACCATAATTGTAAAATGTGAAGAGACTCAAATGAATGAATGAAAAGGACAAGACCGGATTCTTGGTGAATTTTCTTTTTTTAAAAAATGTTTAGTATTGCCCCCTTTAAAAAATGTATTGAATCAAATACCTCTAAATTGATGTACATATAATTAATTACTTTGAACATATTTTATGTCCATCTTTATTTTTTAAAAAAAAGGAAGAAAAACAAACAAATATGTAATACATTACCGAGTAATTTTATTTAATTTGTTGTTTCCGTATTTTTATTTTATACCACCGGTAATATATGCGAATAATATTACTTACAAACAACACAGAATGACATGTTGATCCATCAATATCCATATATAAAATAAAATGACTTCCGAATGAATCCTACACGTTTTTCACACGATTCTTGCACGAAAGTCGCACGTTTCTCACACGGTTCTTACATGAAAGTCGCACGTTTCTCACACGCTTCTCGCACGCTCGCTACACGGTTTGCACGAAACGCTTTGGAGCTTACACGAAACGCTGCACGGTTAACACGAAACGCTACACGGTTTGCACGAAACGCTGCACGGTTTACACGAAACGCTACACGGTTTGCACAAAACGAAAAGCGCACGAAAGTCACACGCTTTTTTGGGGTAGTAGCACGTTTCAGGGTCTGTACCTTATATCAGTACTTAATTACATCAGTACTTACGTTTTGTCAGTACTTACTTTATATCAGTATTTACTTTATATCAGTACTTACTTTTATCAGTATTTATCAGTACTTACTTTATATCAGTAATTACTTTATATCCTTACTTTATGTCAGTACTTACCTTGCATCAGTACTAACATTTTATCAGTACTTATAAGTACTTACTTTATATCAGTACTTACTTTATATCAGTACTTACTTTATATCAGTACATATAAGTACTAACATTTTATCAGTACTTATTAGTACTTACTTTATATCAGTACTTACTTTATATCAGTACTTCTTAGTACTTGCTTTATATCAGTACTTACTTTATACCAGTACTTATAAGTACTTACATTATATCAGTACTTATTAGTACTTACTTTATATCAGTACTTACTTTATATCAGTACTTACTTTATATAAATACTTACTAGTACTTGCTTTATATCAGTACTTACTTACATCAGTATACGTATAAGTACTTACTTTACACTCTTCGTCCAGAAGATCCAGAATTCCTAGCTTACTCTCAATCAGGTCAATACAGGGTTGGTTGTCATAGAAATCAATAAACGACCACTCAATAGCCTCCCGTACATACTCCTCTTGTTCAAGTTTAAATACGTGCTACAAATAAACAAAAAAAATCTATTTTAAAAGGACAATACTTGAGGAAATTACCCACAGGAAAAAATATTGTAAAGTACAAGGCACGGATATGTCTTACCATATTAAATATCTGCTGTAATTTCTCATTAGCATAGTTGATACAAAACTGTTCAAAACTGTTAATTTCAAATGTTTCAAATCTGAAATAATAAATATCAATAAATTACTCTATCTACATCTATTACTGTGAACTATCATTATGGAAAAATTATCTCAACTAAAACTAATAAACTGTATTTAAAGTTTGCACCAAACTTTATCCAAGCAGCCATTGACTTTAGTGAATTCTTGTACGTTGAACATACATATATACATGTTCATGTAGCTAAATATCCTGTAACTTTATAAAACCTAATAATTCAAGTATAAACCCATATAGATCTAGATGTCTCTGAATTTGTAGGGCTTTACAGCACATTTGTTGATAACTTTGTGATGTGCACATCTCTGCAGATATCTAAGACTTTTATAAGCTTTGTGACAAATAATAACTTGATTACATAACCATAGATATCTAAGAATTCTACAAACTTCGTGGTATTTATGATGATAACTTTAGTACATACCCGTAGATATCTAAGACTCCTATTAACTTGATGGACTTACTGATGATAACTTTTGTACCTACCCGTAGATGTCCAAGACTCCTATAAACTTTGTGGACTTTGCGCCGCTTTGTAGGGCTTTATTTATCTTCTCCACGATCCAATCAAACGTTTGTGCGTAGATGTGTTTGGCTAAAGCATCTTGGGCAAAGGATGCCTAGAAAATTCAGAAATAAGTTAAAGTTATTGCACTCCACAAAACCAACTTCATTGACGAAGTTCATACTATATTATACTGTACCACTAACTTGCTTTTACTACGAAATCAACCCAAGAGACAATTTCTAAAAATTACACAAAAATAAAGTTTTAATATTGCAGATAAGACATGATTTATAGAAATTTCATGTAACACTCTATTTACCTGCGCTAACGTTAATGGTTTTGCTAACACTTCGCCGACCTCTATTTACCTGAGCTAATGTTAACGGCTTTGTTAACACTTCACTGACCTCTATTTACCTGAGCTAACATTAATGGCTTTGTTAACACTTCTCCGACCTCTATTTACTTGAGCTAACGTTAATGGTTTTGTTAACACTTTGCTGACCTCTATTTACCTGAGCTAACATTAACACTTTGTTAACACTTTGCTGAATCTATTTACCTGTGCTAACGTTAATGGTTTTGTTAACATTTCGCCGACCTCTATTTACCTGAGCTAATGTTAACAGCTTTGTTAACACTTCACCGACCTCTATTTACCTGAGCTAAAGTTAACAACTTTGTTAACACTTCGCCGTCCTCTATTTACCTGAGCTAATGTTAACGGCTTTGTTAACACTTCGCCGACCTCTATTTACCTGAGCTAACATTAACGGCTTTGTTAACACTTCACCGACCTCTATTTACCTGAGCTAACGTTAACGGCTTAGTTAACACCTCGCCAACGGTGACAATTTTTTTGTTACAGAGCCACATCCTCATCTGAGATTCCTCGATGCCCAGCAGTTTACACATAATGGTTAAATGTTTGTCATCCTTCTGTAAAATCAGAAAAAAAAATCCTTGTAAAAAAGTTAACTTGGAAAATGCACACAAAAACATTAAGATGTCAAAGGGTTTTAGCTGATGAATATAAAGATAATGCAATTATTGTAATATGATGTTGGAGCAAAAACTGAAAATGATGACCTCAATATTCTTGAGATAATTAGGTCACACTGACCTTTATTTCGGACGATTCTCCGTCAGCCTCCCGTACTTTAACATTACCAAAATGTAGAACGGCCGACTGAATCTGGAAAATCATCATCTGTTCCTTCTCCGAGATTCCTTAAAACAACCACAAGTCGGAGACATCAGTATGTCTTGTTATGAGTCAGTTACAGAAAATTAATGCATAAGAAAGGGCTCTCAAGGTTCATGGTTAGTTTTGAACAGTCGATTCTTTCTGGCTGCTATCAGCTCAGATATGTTTAAATTCATTTTTTTGTTTTCCTTTGCATAGGAATATAACTACACGAGAAATTCAAAAATTTAATTAAATTTAATTAAAGCTACATTTAGATTATTAATACTCAGTATTAACTAGTCCCTTCCTGCCTGGTTCCCTTACCCAGCATTGTGAACGCCTCTCTTACAGACACCAGATCTTCATCATCGTCTACGCCGTCTATTTCTGGAGCCTGGCCGTGACTTGTGTAGTAAAAATCATCAGGGCACACTGAAAAAGGATTCAAATTAAACATGTATAATATATACACACTCTTTATGCCTGTCACTCAGATAGAATCTATCTTCATGCAGCACAATATATGTACAAGGAAATTGTAAACGTGGTGTTTAATGGCAATTCATTGTTTTTTATTTAAACAATATTTTATTATGATTAAACATAACTGGATTGGACAGCAGGCACTGCCTATATAAGTCCTCTCAACCGCAATTCATTGTGTCCTACTACTGAGGTATAATTCAGTACAAACAAATAAAATGTCAAACAGAAAGACTGGCTTTGATTTGTCAGGCACAAAGTATTGCTTCCACTGAACTGTACTTTAAATCACCATTAATTAATTTCTATTGAGTATCATTATACTGACCATTCATATAAAGACATACTACATGTAGTGCCATAGACAACATCAGCACTAATTCATATGCCTTCACTCAGAGGAAAATAAATACACAAAGACATCACACAGACAGACGGACAGACAAACAGACAGACGTACTTACACAGACAATACTTCTTAAATTCAGGTAGATCTTTGGAAGCACAAAGTTGATAAAAAATGTGGTAGTTCCTCTCATCTGCAGCTTGATACACCACCCTGAAAAATTACCCAGAATTCATCATCAAGCTTGATACACCACCCTGAAAAATTACACAGAATTCATCAACAAGCTTGATACACCACCCTGAAAGATCATAAAGCTTGATACACCACCCTGAAAAATAACCCAGAATTCATCATCAAGCTTGATACACCACCCTGAAAAATTACCCAGAATTCATCAACAAGCTCGATACACCACCCTGAAAGATTACCCAGAATTCATCATAAAGCTTGATACACCACCCTGAAAAATAACCCAGAATTCATCATCAAGCTTGATACACCACCCTGAAAAATTACCCAGAATTCATCATCAAGCTTGATACACCACCCTGAAAAATTACCCAGAATTCATCATCAAGCTTGATACACCACCCTGAAAGATTACCCAGAATTCATCATAAAGCTTGATACACCACCCTGAAAAATAACCCAGAATTCATCATCAAGCTTGATACACCACCCTGAAAAATTACCCAGAATTCATCATAAAGCTTGATACACCACTCTGAAAAATTACCCAGAATTCGTCATAAATCTTGATACACCACTCTGAAAAATAACCCAGAATTCATCATAAAGCTTTAAATAGTTCTTAATGTCTTAGGACAGACTTAGGATATATTGGTAGATTTACCTAGATTTTTCTAATAAGTAAGTCCTCATATGGGCGCCGATGATTTCGTTGTTTTTGTTGAAGGAGATTTCTATATATTTCCCAAATCTACTGCTGTTGTCATTTCTCGTTGTTTTAGCATTACCTATAGCCTGCAAATAGGAAATACATGTTACATATGAACATATATATGCATTGATCATTTAAATATGCCTACAAGGAATAGATGCAAATTAATAACATAACTTATGCATTTCTTCACCTCCATAATGTGGTTAAATATATTTCCTATAAGGGTACTAGACACATTTTCTGAACCTCCATGATGGTGTCAAAATAATTTACTACAAGGGTAGATGCATTTTCTTCATCTACTTGATGGAGTTATGTATTGGGTTATTTTACCTCCATGATGGGGTTATGTATTGGATTATTTTACTACCATGATGCAGTTATGTATTGGGTTATTTTACCTCCATGATGGAGTTATGTATTGGGTTATTTTACCTCCATGATGGGGATATGTATTGGGTTATTTTACCTCCATGATGGAGTTATGTATTGGATTATTTTACTACCATGATGCAGTTATGTATTGGGTTATTTTACCTCCATGATGGAGTTATGTATTGGATTATTTTACTACCATGATGCAGTTATGTATAGGGTTATTTTACTTCCATGATGGAGTTATATATTGGGTTATTTTACCTCCATGATGGAGTTATGTATTGGATTATTTTACTACCATGATGCAGTTATGTATTGGGTTATTTTACCTCCATGATGCAGTTATGTATTGGGTTATTTTACCTCCATGATGGAGTTATGTATTGGATTATTTTACTACCATGATGCAGTTATGTATTGGGTTATTTTACTTCCATGATGGAGTTATATATTGGGTTATTTTACCTCCATGATGGAGTTATGTATTGGGTTATTTTACCTCCATGATGGAGTTATGTATTGGGTTATTTTACCTCCATGATGGAGTTATGTATTGGATTATTTTACTACCATGATGCAGTTATGTATTGGGTTATTTTACCTCCATGATGGAGTTATGTATTGGGTTATTTTACCTCCATGATGGAGTTATGTATTGGATTATTTTACTACCATGATGCAGTTATGTATTGGGTTATTTTACCTCCATGATGGAGTTATGTATTGGATTATTTTTTCTCCATGATGGGGATATGTATTGGGTTATTTTACCTCCATGATGGAGTTATGTATTGGATTATTTTACTACCATGATGCAGTTATGTATTGGGTTATTTTACCTCCATGATGCAGTTATGTATTGGGTTATTTTACCTCCATGATGGAGTTATGTATTGGATTATTTTACTACCATGATGCAGTTATGTATTGGGTTATTTTACCTCCATGATGGAGTTATGTATTGGGTTATTTTACCTCCATGATGGAGTTATGTATTGGATTATTTTACTACCATGATGCAGTTATGTATTGGGTTATTTTACCTCCATGATGCAGTTATGTATTGGGTTATTTTACCTCCATGATGGAGTTATGTATTGGATTATTTTACTACCATGATGCAGTTATGTATTGGGTTATTTTACTTCCATGATGGAGTTATATATTGGGTTATTTTACCTCCATGATGGAGTTATGTATTGGATTATTTTACCTCCATGATGGAGTTATGTATTGGATTATTTTACTACCATGATGCAGTTATGTATTGGGTTATTTTACCTCCATGATGGAGTTATGTATTGGATTATTTTACCTCCATGATGGGGATATGTATTGGGTTATTTTACCTCCATGATGGAGTTATGTATTGGATTATTTTACTACCATGATGCAGTTATGTATTGGGTTATTTTACCTCCATGATGGAGTTATGTATTGGGTTATTTTACCTCCATGATGGGGATATGTATTGGGTTATTTTACCTCCATGATGGAGTTATGTATTGGATTATTTTACTACCATGATGCAGTTATGTATTGGGTTATTTTACCTCCATGATGGAGTTATGTATTGGGTTATTTTACCTCCATGATGGGGATATGTATTGGGTTATTTTACCTCCATGATGGAGTTATGTATTGGATTATTTTACTACCATGATGCAGTTATGTATTGGGTTATTTTACCTCCATGATGGAGTTATGTATTGGGTTATTTTACCTCCATGATGGGGATATGTATTGGGTTATTTTACCTCTATGATGGAGTTATGTATTGGATTATTTTACCTCCATGATGGAGTTATGTATTGGGTTATTTTACCTCCATGATGGAGTTATGTATTGGGTTATTTTACCTCCATGATGGAGTTATGTATTGGATTATTTTACTACCATGATGGAGTTATGTATTGATTTACTATCAGGACAGGACATAATTTCTTTTTTTACCTCCATGATTGGGTTAGATGCAAGGACTTTCTGTTCCACCTGAGTTTCTTTCTGAGATCCTCCGACCATCGCGAAATATCGCATGGCGTACTTCGCTGACACCGTCTTCCCAGCTCCTGATTCTCCAGATACAATAATAGACTGGTTCTTATCGAATCTGAAAAAACAACAGTTGGTCAGAATATCTTTACCAAAAAGGGAGTTTTTTTCAGAAAACAAATGATGTGCATGTTTTTCATGCAAACTTCACAGACACCATCTATCCCATTCCATATGGTTTGAATGCAAAGCGGTACAAACGGTAAAAACATTCACAACCCTGGACCTAAGGAGTTTCAGTTCTTTATAAACCTGGCCATCAGTTTGAATGTCAAGCAGTTCTAATCTTAATACACAACCAGAAGTCTCTGATGAGACTGTAGCTCTACTGGTCTGTTTGTATAACAAAAGAAAAGTAGCACTTGGATTTGAAACATTGCAACATGCAACAATAAATAGAATTATGTATCTTAATGTAGTCTACTTTTGTGACAAGTTATATTGAAATCAAATGAAAACTAGGAGTAGTAGCGTTTTGAAAGTATTTCACGGAAATTTCTATTTTTAGTAACCATGACAACACCATTCACCCAAATAAAAAAAAACAGAAATACATATTATGTATCGTAGTGTATTCTAACTGTGTGCCAAATTAGATTGAAATCAGACCAAAATTGTAGGAGGAGTAACGTTTAATGGGAATTTCACAAAAATTTCTATTTTAAGTAACCATGGCAACACTGTTCATCGAATTCAAAAACCAATGCAATAAATTATGTATCTTAGTATAGTCTTCTTGTATGCCTAATTATATTAGAAGCAGACTAAAACTGTAGCAGGAGTAGCGTTTTAAAGAAATTTCACAGAAATTTCTATTTTTAGTAACCATGGCAACACCGTCCATCGAAATCAAAAACCAATGCACTAAATTGTGTATCTTAGTGTAGTCTACTTGTGTGCCAAGTTATATTGAATCGGACTAAAACTGTAGGAGGAATAGCGTTTTAAAGAAATTTCACAGAAATTTCTATTTTTAGTAACCATGGCAACACCGTCCATCGAAATCAAAAACCGATGCACTAAATTATGTATCTTAGTGTAGTCTACTTGTGTGCCAAGTTATATTGAAATCGGACCAAAACTGTAGGGGGAGTAGCGTTTTAAAGGAATTTCACAGAAATTTCTATTTTTAGTAACCATGGCAACACCGTCCATCGAAATCAAAAACCGATGCACTAAATTATGTATCTTAGTGTAGTCTACTTGTGTGCCAAGTTATACTGAAATCGGACCAAAACTGTAGGAGGAGTAGCGTTTTAAAGGAATTTCACAGAAATTTCTATTTTTAGTAACCATGGCAACACCGTCCATCGAAATCAAAAACCGATGCACTAAATTATGTATCTTAGTGTAGTCTACTTGTGTGCCAAGTTATATTGAAATCGGACCAAAACTGTAGGAGGAGTAGCGTTTTAAAGGAATTTCACAGAAATTTCTATTTTTAGTAACCATGGCAACACCGTCCATCGAAATCAAAAACCGATGCACTAAATTGTGTATCTTAGTGTAGTCTACTTGTGTACCAAGTTATATTGAAATCGTACCAAAACTGTAGGAGGAGTAGCGTTTTAAAGGAATTTCACAGAAATTTCTATTTTTAGTAACCATGGCAACACCGTCCATCGAAATCAAAAACCGATGCACTAAATTATGTATCTTAGTGTAGTCTACTTGTGTGCCAAGTTATACTGAAATCGGACCAAAACTGTAGGAGGAGTAGCGTTTTAAAGGAATTTCACAGAAATTTCTATTTTTAGTAACCATGGCAACACCGTCCATCGAAATCAAAAACCGATGCACTAAATTATGTATCTTAGTGTAGTCTACTTGTGTGCCAAGTTATATTGAAATAGGACCAAAACTGTAGGAGGAGTAGCGTTTTGAAAAATTGTTTACAGACAGACGGACAGACAGACAGACAGACAGACAGACAGACAGACAGACAGACGGACGGACGACGGACACCTTACTATCGCATAAGCTCTTCTGGTCTCTGACCAGTAGAGCTAAAAACATGGACATGAGTTTAAATGCCAAGCGGTATACATCTTATTAACATACCTGGACATGAGTTTGAATGCCTCTTCTGCCACAGCGAAGATATGGGGGTCCATGGTCCCCATGTCCTGACCACTGTACATTTGTATGAGTTCATTGCCGTAGATAGGGAGCTGTTGGTAGGGGTTAATGGCCACTAACACAATACCACAGTATGTGTAGATACAGTTACTCTCCAAAAATCGCACTTGTAAATTGTACAGAACTGAAAATACAAAAAACACAGTAACTCTCCAAAAATCGCACTTGTAAATTATATAACACTGAAAACAAATAATATTGTTTAGATACAGTTATTATCCAAAAAATACACTTATAAATTGTACAGCACTGGGGTCAAGTCTATTTCTCCAATCAGAAAACAAAATTAATTTTAGCCAATTAAATCTTCTGTAACAAATGACAATTGTTATGATTAAATATGTTGTAACAAACCCTCTGGTTCATTGAGGTAGCTGAGTGATGTCAAATCATTTTCTCCAATCAGAATCTCCGGGTTCCTGAGGTGAGGTAATCTATTTTTATCCTTGATTTCGAATTCTCTTTCCTTAAATAAAAGAAAATAAAGAATGCATATAAATTAAAGGCTATTAATACTGTCATTTTCTTATTTAAACATTCAGGTTTTAAAACAAGAACTCAATCAAGGCCTTCTCTCTTAAAATCTGGATTATTACTGGAGATAATTATGACAAAAAGATCATTTATAATGCTATGTATGTCTTTTATCGTAGACTAGACTGTTAAAATATTTGCTGTATCATCATTACTCAGTATCTTAATATGTACTAAATCTTCTGAAGGTCACTGTTTTGTAGCATTAAGTGGACAACTATAAAGATGACTAAACCTTCAGTCTTGTGAAGCTTAAACATTTTATCAGACTTTACTAATTAAAGGAAATGTCAAATGGACGGAGGACCAACAGTTTTGGGAGCATGTTAGGACACATATGCCTCTCCTCTGCTAAATACTCTTGAAAAAAGGGCGATTTTTGTCCAGCAATATTGTTTGTGACATGTGACCTCTGGTCAGTTAAACTCTGAGGTGAAGTATGCCCCCTCCTTGTATTAGATATTCTTGAGATGAGGAAGAACTTGTGCCCAGTAATATTGTCTGTGACAAGTGACCTGTGCAGGTCAGTTAAAACATGAGGTCACTGACCAGGACACTAAGTACACTGTAATGTCCAGATGTGGTTTTTATGGACAGGACATAATGAAGGCCGATCGTTAACGAGACGTTAATGTCGCATATTAATGAGCACAACACCAAACACAATGTAACACTAAAGAGATCACGGAGAGAAATAAAGAGGAACGTTGTCTTTTGTTTTACTATTGTCATCAGGAACTGTAGTGATAATTAATTAGGAGTTAATTGTTTTAATGTATTCATTCTTTCTCTGTGAAATATAAACAGGATGTAATGTTCAAACTTAAAATTCAATGTATTATTACGTTCTCTTAAAAGTTAGAAAAAAAATGCATTTCTCTATGAGTAATATTATCTGCAGTACTGGACAAACCATTGGTTGTCAATAAAAGTCCTGATATTTTATCTTTAATGCTTATAACCTAATGACATGTTGACATCACAAGCAAACAAACTCAGGTAGTCAAGATAATTAATAGTTTACAATTAATCATTGAACGTAATAATAACAGTTCAAACATGTCAACTTTCTGCATAAAATCCTGGATCTCTTTCCCATCATAATTCCAAACATACTGTGAAGCTCTCTCTCTCCTAGACATTCTGTCTATCTGTCTCTCTCTTAAACATTCTGTCTCTCTTAGACATTCTGTCTCTTAGACATTCTCTCTCTCTGTTTTATTTACCTCGCCATTATTTTCTAACTGTATTTTTATCTTCTTTTGTCCTGTGTAGTTTTCCAGTAGCTCCGCCCCTAACCACACCTTCTCTGAGTCTGGGACCCATATTCTAGCTCCCTGAAAAATTGGAAATAATTCAAAACTGTTTTAAGAAGTGCTTACTTCAAGTTAAAGAAATGAATGCATATTTACATCAAAAAAAATATGTAAAAATATCAAACTGATAATTATTACACAGAGAACAAAACTCTTTGAATATTTCTACACATTACTTTAGGTAAGATTTTTTTATTTCTGCAGAAAAAGAGAACTTAAATTTACTAGTACAGATTGTCCTAGAAGACTATATGTTTACTATATGTGTTTACTATATATGTTTAATTAAATAGTGTTAAAAACCTAATTTAGTGTTGTTGAGTTCTAAAATTCTTTTTCTTAATACACACTGTAAACCAGCTTTCTTTTGCTGGCAACTAGGTATAATAATTTGAATATATTGAGATTATTTTCTAGTAGTTTTTCCTTCACTAAATTCCCAAGCAATGAACTCTAACCATTTCTCTGTCCACAGAAAAATTAGTTATCAGCAAAAGAAAACATGGTTTACAAATATAGTAGATAGATGACACTACTAAGTTATACAGTAACTTCAGTATAATGTAGATTACCAAATTTTCACAACACCTTACTTTTGCTAGATTATTAGCAGGACAAAACACAAATTTGGACTTTTTTTGATATAATTTTTTACAATAAAAATATATGTGAGAGTCAAATTTTCACTAGCAGACAGTCTGGCATATTTAATACATGAATAAAAAGTGATTTATAGTATATTTGCGGAATATAATTTCAAATAATTTTCAAACCTTTCATAACCTGTCAGATAAGTTTACACACTCTTCCAAAATAAGTAAGGACAGATAACTATAAGTGAGTATGGAATGGTTAGCACTAAATCAACACACAAGGCCACACAAAAATATTTTAGATTGTCATCCTGACCCCCCCCCCCCCCAACCACCTGCCAGCCCATTGTTTTTTCAATGCAAATAAGGATGACAATCATAAATTTAAGTTTATGTGGCCTAAGTATTAGTACTCTAAAACAGCCTTGTAAGTGACAGTTAATTAAAATAGCACTAAATAAATCTATAATTATTGGTACTACATTTGTCTATAGCAGTAGATGTTAAAGTCAAGCAATAACTAATTTAAACAAGAAGTCTTTAAAATATTTAATAGTTTCTTCATTTTGATTTCCTGTGCCCTGTTTTTACGAAATGTTTCCCAAGAAACTAGTAAAGACTTTTCCTTACAAAATTTACCCCCCCCCCCTTCCACCTCCATCCCTTCTGCAATAAGCTATCACTAAGGCTTTTCCGCCAAATTACTTCCAACCTTGAAATAAGCATCTAGTAATGTTTCTCCACCAAATTACGCCTGTCAAAGTTAAGTTATGATTTCCCCTGTTACATTACCCCCCCCCCCCTCTTAATTAAACTACCCCAATACTGTACCTAAGGCCCATGTCAAGTTGTTAGTTATGTTTGTCCCACAAATAAAACCCCCAACCCGTGAACTGACATTTAAGTTGCATTGATCTGCCCTAAAAATTAACCCCCAACCCCCAACAAAAACACACACAACCAAGTTATATCAAGTTGTTAGAAATGGACCTCAGCCAAATAAACCCAGAACCATGTTAAGTTGTAAGCAATGACTTGACGTTCTTCCACCACAGACAAGCATACATACAAACCTTCACATAAACCTGGCCTATTTCCGACTCCTTGAGAAACGTCTGAAATTGAAATCGGCAATAAATATCAAAGACATGCGATCTTAATATTTCCATGTTTGGAGGTGGATCTAAGAATTAAATGTCTTCAGAAGAAATCCTCAGTGGATCTAAGAATTCAATGTCTTCAGAAGAAATCCTCAGTGGATTTAAGAATATTTGATTTTTTTTTTTTTCGAATTGTAAAACGTTATGTGCCACTATACACTGTCAAACAAGATACTTCAGGGGTGGATCAAACAATTTCAAGTTGAAATTTCAGAGTTGAAAAATCCAAGTCAAATATGTCTACCAGATAAAGATCATTTAGTCTACAATTTCCAATATCGTAGAAGTCTGAATTTTGTTCTACAAATATGAATCAAGATTGAGAAGCCATCATCAAATTGACAAGAATATCTCCATTACATTCCCATACTGCATTAAGGGACATCCATGAATTATTCCACACAATACTCAGATCTATACAAGTCTGTCTATACATGGCCGTTCCGTGGTTAATTCTCAGATTTTCTGGTATTGAGTGAACGGTTTATTCCTTCAATATTGTACATGTCACCGCATTCTTCAAACATTTTATAAATATTTATAAATAATAACATGTACAGGGCAGGTAGGCCTAGCCTAACAAATTTTCTGTTTTACAATTTATGCATTTATGTATTTGGCGAGACCTATGGTTATTGTAATGACCTTGTTAACAGATACAATCAATGTGTCAAATTTTGACTTAAATGTTTAGGCCATTGTTTTCAAATAATGGATTACTCTGTCTACCTGCTCAATACATAGGGCTCATGGCAGGTGCAGTGATGATTCTGTGAATTGGCCAAAACATCTGAAATAGTTTGGAAGTCGAGGGGCTGATGAAATATGGGCTTTAGCAAGCCCAAATTAGGTTTAATTGAGGGACAAAAATTGAAGTGTAACAGTGTGTTTAACAACTTTTACATCTTGACCTGGCTGAATGAACCATCACGCCATTGTAACGAAGTCTCAATCATCCCTGCTTTTGTGATAACCTTACTTGAAGATATAAGAAAATGTCTGGATGATGCAGATTAGATCAGAACTTAGACAATACAACTTGAATTTTTTACCCGGTTAAAAATGGAAACGGATCGCTGCAAAAATCGAAAGTATCAAAATATCGGAAAGCACTCATAAATATCGGATTCTTGGATTCAAATTAGCAGAATTCCGCTAAATATCGGAAAAGAATCATCACTGCAGGTGTGCCAGCGTGACAAGGGATGCTTTCTCCTCCTAGACACCTGATCCCAATCTTTCAGTGGTCCATGTGTCATATCATTTACAGGATCTATAGATCACTATTATTTAAAAGAAGGATTTTTTTTGTGTGTGAATCAAAGTTTAACGTCACTTTTGACATTTTACACCTGGTCAGCCTCATCTTCATGCTGACCCAAATTTATGAGTCATTTCAAGAATAAAGAATACCAGGACATATTGTCAACACAACAAAGGAGTTAGACATATTTTAAAAAATAACGTAAGAAGTTTACTTTTCATTAACATGTATATCTGTGCTTGTGCAATGACAAACACAGATGATGGCATATGCAATGGTTTACTTCCGAAGCCAACATAGCCACAGAAAGATCAAAGTCATCATGTACTGCCCTAGAACTCCCTCATCACTTAACTGTAGTCTGTGTTGGCCTCATTCACTATGGATCATTACTAAATGTAATTCACCAGTAATTGTTCTTCATTACTGCAGTGAAATGTCAATCGAGGCTTAGTGTAGATCTTTAAAGCAGGCTTCACTTTGCCTACATTATGTATACACACTTTTAGATTTGTTTAAAATTTTTGAGATTTTTTTTTTTTTATAATTTTCTGTTTTTGATGAAGCTGATAGAGAACCTGACTAATGGAGGATAACAAAGTCACACAAGTAAGTTCAAGGTCACATGATGATGAGTTTAGCAGCTATTTCTACTTAGTTAATTAATCATTAGAATTAAGACTCAGAATTGAAAGTGAGAAGTATAAACATGTAGTTGAATATCTTTATCTCAAACTTTGCTATCTCAAATATCACGGATAATGTCAAAGTGAATTAAAAATACAAACAACTTATAATATATGTATTTTAACCTCAAAATCTCAAATCATTGGACATGATCTCATTTTCTTATTTTGGGTCCGATCAGTTTGGAGAGAACAAGGTATTCAGGGTCTCTGACCATTTTGACAATATTGCCTTTCACACGTCACTTCTCATTGCTTATTTTTGGCAAATCTACCTCCATCAAACACTTAATAGCACTGGTAGTCTGTATATATTCATAATTATGTTTGTGTTTAATTATTGGTTTCTAAAAGAAAAATGAATTTTGTGAAGGGGGATGAAATAAGCTTTTGGATGGTGCTGTTTATATTTTGTATATATTAAGCAGATCTACACAAGACCAGAGATGTGGAATCAAAGAACAATCCTCTACCAGACTGATTTATACACACACTATTGCTTATTTGTTTATCATGGCATTTGTAAAAGAATTGTGGAGATTCATTTTAAAGGTGTTGTTAAGCCGAGAAAAGAGAATTTGTGATCTGATGTTCTGGAATATAAACCGACAATTACCTGACAGTTTACCATGTTTACATGTAAAAAAAATCACATGACCCCATTTTGGACATAATTAAGTCTTTAACAAAATTCTGATGACACGTGAATGACTTTTGAACATGCATCAGGTTCATACTTTTTTGATACGGTATCTGAACTAAACAACATATATGTGGCATTAAGCTTGTGGCATATCTTAAATTTGTTATTTATCCACTGGGAAGTATCTTTTTAAGTTTCACAATTTAAAATTACTCTTACAATACATCTATCAGGACTCACTAAGTGGTAATGCAATCTTTCTTGCTTTCTCTCTCTATCCCTTTCTCTCCCTCCCCCCCCCCTCCCTCTCTCTCTCTTGTTATTTTTTTATTTTTAGAAGACAGGAAGCCAGTAATTTTACTTTTCAGTGTAAGACATATCTACACAAGGAAACATGATTAACTCTGTTGAAGTACATGTAAACAGGAACGATTTACAGAGAACATGTTAAAAAAGATATGTACATGTATAACCTAGGTCAGGGTCAGGACAGGAAAACAGACAACAGAGGGTCAGGGAAACAGGACTTACAAAATCTGCCAGTACCCAGTACTTAACCCTGCTGAAATCATGATTTCTCCATTGAAAAATATTCAAGGGAGAAATTTTGATAAAACATTTTATTAAAATAGCTTTCAATAGGTACATCCTATTTTATAAAAGTGTTTCTGATCTTTTGAAATTCCTGGGGACAGACCCTAAACTTTTACTCCCTAAAAAAGTCTCATTATTTCATGAATCACCAAAGGAGCTGCACAAGACAACACTATATCTCCCTAAATCAACCATGAATTAAGTCATTTTACTTTGATTAGGAATGTCTAGATTTCAGAACCTCATGGAAGATTTAAAATTCTTGTGACATAACACTCAGTAATGTAACACAGTGATTGCGCAATACCCTGTGTAGAATCAGCTGATAGATTAACACTACACACATCCTAGCGTATATCCTTCCCATGGTTTTGTGTTAAACGTTGTAATTGCTCCAAATAGTTTCAGTTCCTAAACATTTACAATAATACTATTTACCCTGTTTACTTTATATGATACATATACAGTATTTTCTATCTTGATGTTTTTAAAGGCCGGGAGGTGATGGGAGGGGGATATTTGAGTCCTCTCACTTATACTACTGACATAAAAGCTCATTAATTAACATCCCTCACCATGTCAATATAACAATGTCTCCTCTCTCTATTCACATGTTGTAGATTAGAAGAATGTTTAATTTTAGTATTGCTAAAGCAAAACATAGGACAATCACTGCATGCATGTAAAACATAGGACAATCACTGTACACAATCACAGTACACAATCACTTTACATAATACTGCATCTTTGATAATTCACCTCAAAGTCTGACAATTAAGACACACACTATGTTCATGTAGAAACTGAATCAAACACCAGGCTCCGGGGCCATAAAACTTAGATGAGCTCACTTTTGATCTCAGTCTCACTTTTACCAAAGGAATTAATAGTAGAAAGTGAGACTGAGATCAAAAGTGAGCTCGTCTAAGCTTTATGGCCCCGGAGCCAGATGCTAGAAACCAAGGATTCAAACCATTCTAAGGTTTTTACGTTTTCATGATTTGGATATTTTGACGTACGTCCATTTCAATTTTGTACCAGCGAGCTACATTACATTATGTAAACTGTAAAGAATGTAAACTGTAAGATGGGGCAAGTTTGATTTTTTTTTTTTTTTGGGGGGGGGGGGGGGAGTTTATAAAAACAAAATCAACTACAGAATGCTTCTGTTTCATGGAAGATATTTCAAAGAAAGGAGTCCCAGTTAGGGCTCATTCACATTATTGAAATCCATTCATGAATAAGGTTTTGATACATGTCGAAAAATATCAATGTCAAAAAAGAACATTCACAGACATCATGAGACATGAATAAAAAAAACAGCACTTGCATAATTCTTAGATCCGCCCCTCTCACCTATAAACGACAGGTGTCAAACGGCACCTGTGTGAGGATAATTAGTCATGTACTCCAAAACAATGACAGTGCAGATAAAAATATCACATTCCCATTGACTTAAAATGTTATTCCTGTGTCGAGAACCGACTAAGTAGCCACACAGTCAGCTACCTGACAGTTTGAAGCTACCACAACTTTGACACGTTTTTGTTTTGAATCTTCAGCCTACCTGAACGTAAAGGTCCGCCGAAGTCATTGTTTAATGGCGCCCCCTTCATTCACACTTGTCGTCAGTAATTTATTTTTATCCGGGATCGAGTCTCATGGCGTCTGTACTCGTCTAAATATCATATTTTTTGCTCTCTTTCTGACCTTAGAATTTTCTTGTGAGTCTCTGTCCGCCCACCCTAAAAATCCGAGATTTATCTCTGATCTTGTCACCTGCACGCTTAACGGTTTTCCAGGTGCATGTCAAACGTTCCGCTGACGACCTGTCACCTATCGGAATGATCTCAGGTATTTTCGTCGTGTTGTCTTGTGGCTCATGTGTGGAATCTCGATCCCGACGAAAATTTTCTTTTTTGAAACAAAAATAATAAATAAATTGAATATGTTCATTTTGTCATAGAGGACTAAATTTTATACTTTGACATTCACAGTGAATGTACAATGAATATACATGTAACTAATGAAAAAAAAAAGAAATCCAAAATTAATCGTGTGTATGCGAGTGTTTGGAAGAACATCTTCGCTAGCCAAGGGTTTCTGATACGCTACTCTCCTCATAAGCCCTAGGGTTTATGAGGAGAGTAGCGTATCAGAAACCCTTGGCTAGCGAAGATGTTGGAAGAAGGGCTAGAGGTCATTATCGTCCAAGTGATTGTGTCAAACATTAACACACATGTATATTTATATTTATAGTTTTTTTTTTAAATCCTAAATTGATTTTTTTTTAAAATATGAGGAATAAAATGAAGTTAATAAATAAAACCATACAAATCTATTTCCTCTTGCTTCATATAGTTGTCTGTTTATTTATTTATTTATTTATTTAAGTAAGTAAGTAATTTATTTAAGAAATAATGTATAATTTTTGAACATCTATCGGGATATAAATACGCGTTGGTCACGGGCTTTATGGTAAATTTGATCTCGTACCAACCCGTATTTATCACGATAGATGTTTAAGAATTATACATTAATACTTATATTTACAGTTATGACTTATTCATATTTTATATTTTCCAGATTATAATCTTTAACCCGTGAAATGTTTAAATTTTCAAACTCAACGGCACGTATTTGATCCATTAATTGCGCGTCGACCCTTTATGACGTCACTGAGAAATTACGTCAAACGTTTATGACGCGAGGAACCCGTGTTTATTTAAGAAATAAGGTATCATTTTTAAACATCTATCGGGATATAAATACGGGTTGGTCACGAGATCAAATTCCATAAAGCCCGAAGGGCTTTATGGTAAATTTGATCTCGTACCAACCCGTATTTATATCCCGATAGATATAAAACACTTTTTAATATCTTCTTCAGAGTACTTGTGTGAACAAATAGAATGTTTTTTAACAAAATAATCTTGCAAATGATAAATGACAAGGTTCGTAAATTTATGCGTTCCATTCCAGCTGTCAATGACGTTAATTTATCTCGGGGAATGGTTGAAAAGTCGTACGTTTTTGATAATATTGAAGTTCCTTGGATTTTTTAAGTATCCGCATCTGATTTACACCACTTCTAGAATTTATTGTTGCACAGTCCTCTTGAAGTTTCCCCTCCACTGTGAAAGGAAAAGATAACAAACAGTGATCGATTTCCAAAAATCTATAAACAATACAAATATGAGAAGAGGACATAAAACAGAAATTCCAGAGGCCTGAATTTGATAATGGTATGCAATTACATGCAGATTCATGTGCATTTACATTTTAACAATCATTTAATTAAAACAAATTACAGCCGTTCTTATCTAACATTTTAATCAAATAACACAATACAAGCAGAGAATAAGAACATTACCCAGGAAGGAGGGTTTAATCACATTCTAATCTGTTCGGGAACCTGCACTGCACACATATCCTTTCCTGGCACCTTCATGTGTAACAAACATGCAGTTTGACAAAATACTATGCAATCTGATGACTTCAAGACAATCATTCATCGATGTAGACAAAATATTGGCTTTTTCATCAAACCTTTGACATTCTAATGCTTGCACAAAAGCCAGTGTTTCTTTTTCGTAAAAGATAAAGAACTGGACTTACCCAAAACGCTTGTTTATTCCAGATTTGTACTCAGTTGTTGAATTGTCTCTTTTCGTCATCCTGGAATAATTTTCTCCATAGATAATGAACGATTAATATTCGATCCTGTCAAAACTTTTACATTTACTTTGGATAGGAGCGCATCCAATAAACTTTTCAAGAACATTCTTTCTTTAATAGAAAGGGTCTTCTCTTCCACAGCCCCAAGAACATAATTTCCCTCCTCAATAATGCAATTTCTTATAAGAAGCGTGATAGATTCGACTGCATTGTAAATTTTTTCGCACTCAGAGTCCTTCGAAATACAATTTTCTTTCAGCTCCGGTAATTTTTGGATAAAGGAGACGCCCGTCAGAATTTGGTTGTCAATGTTTTGAGTTCCTCGAATCATTTTCAGGAGAACCCCATTTTCGAAGGAAAAACAACTGTGCGTGTAAAGTGGGCTCAGTGCCCTGACACTATCGGGTAGATGAAGAAGCTGGTGTACATTGAGGCGCATAAAGCGAACGTCATAGAGATCTGAAAAAAGTTTCACAAAATTTGTTTAGCATGACCTCTGCACGGTTTACATCATCATCTGTTGAACCACATTTTAATAAAATATGCATGGAATTAACCAGCAGTAAGTAATGTGAGAATCTATCCCTATCCAGGATATCATAAAGAACTGGGGCCCCAAAATAGAGAAGAAACGATCTATATTCTGAGGCTTTCCAATATTTTAGGTCCTGAATAGATCTTGGTAATCTTGTAATGTTGAGTGTTGGTTTGATACTGACCAGTCTTTCATCAACTTGTTCCTGCCTGTCATGGAAAGCAAAGCTTTCTTTTCCATATTTTGGTAGAAACCATAACTCAAATAGAAGTTTCTGTACTCCAAGGAGAACCCCGTGCATATAATCAATAACAATACCATCGATGATGTGAAATGCCGGGAAAAATTGTAACCAAGATGGGTCTTTTATCCCTTTGATGACTGAATTGGTGTCCACCGCATCCCTGGCATTTGAGAGCACATTAACAGGCGTCCTAGTTGGTCCTTTAGGGTTATCCTTTTCAAATGGAAATATCCTTGCGTGCCCTTTACCAATAGCTTCAGTCTTTCCTTCTTGTTCACATTTCCATCACACACATGCGCCATTATATTGTATATGGTTACACAAAAGACTCCTGTCATGTAGATCAGCTGTTCCACAAAGTAAAATTGCTTTGCATGTAAATATGCCTTCCTCTGGTGACTCGCATTGAATTCCCGAATGTAATTCTGTCATAGTTTTTTGGAATGGATTCAAAAATGTTCCCATTGAAGGTTTACTACTGCCAAACCATAAACTTGTTAAAATCATGTTTTCTTTTTTCATTCGCAAATGATAAAGCAGTTCATTTATGACCAGGTATATTGGCCAAACGGGTATATTGCTGCTTTTAAAAACAGGGGCACCATCGGTATTGAATGTACATGAAAGACTGTGTGGATCACTTAATATGCCATTATTATCAAAGTGACTGCGATATACGCTTCCATCATATGTATCTTCATACAAATGCAGATTCTTCTTTCTCCTAAACCGATGCTGTATGCTGTTGTAAAATCCTGTTTGCCTGAATAAATTTCTTATCTGATTTGCTAGTGGGATTTTTAAAAAATAACTTGATGTTTTAAGGCTAAATGGTTGACCACATGAACCATAAGGACATTTATCTATAGATTTTTCTTCCACCAGACCCAAACAAATGCTGTAATAGTGCTGATGAATAAAAGGATTTTTTAAGTCACTAAAGAACTTTTTAAATTCATGTAAGGTAGTGCACAACACATGATCATCGAGCAGTGCTAAGGCAATGATGCTGAGAAGTTGCTCTATTGCGTCACCTACAAGATTATATTTGTGTGTAAATAATGCCAAGAGGAAAAGGAACGCTCCGATTGTAACACCTGCTCCAGGATACAAGGGAACTGAATCGGGATCATTGTCACCAGCATCAGGAGACGATGGCAATAATGCGAATTCACTGTGTCGACGTTGCCCTACTCATATTCTTCTTCTATAAAAAATAATTCATCCAGCAAAGAATCGCCTTCTATTTCCATTTCTCTGTCCTCTGAGTCGTTTAGATCCTCTCGCTCTTCGTATTTGCTTGTGCTGGGCTGAAGTTGCATCTTCTATGTAGAATTCAGTTTCCTACATGGCGAAAGAATACAGTTCTAGAAAAAAAAAACTGTAACTAAATTAAAAAAAAAATGATTCAAAGATTTAATCAATATTACAATGCATAGAAAAAAATGAAAAGAAAATCAAAAAAGGTGAAAACAGCAGAAAAAGACAAAAATGACAAAAAAAGGAAACATCCCAGAAAAGAAAGAACAAAAACATATACGGTACCAATTTTGATGCACCAGATGCGCATTTCGACAAATTATGTCTCTTCAGTGATGCTCAAGCCGAAAGGTTGGAAATCCAAAATTTAAATAAAAAGAATTGGAAGAGCTGAAAAAAGTGCCAAAGACTGGAGCCAAATACGTCGAAGGATAAGAGCTATGCATGAGGGAGATAATCCTTAATTTTGAAATAAATTTCTAAATATTATATAAGAAAGAAAAACCCAGTCGTAAAAAAGATGTCCAAAAGAAAGCAACAAAAGCTATAAACCAAATAATTAATAATCAGTTGATGGAATTGACACACTTGGGTGCTCAATTTAATGAAGAGATTATAAATCTAGAGGAAGAGAAGACTTCTACCCCTGGTACATGTAAATCCCCACAGACAGGAACATCACTTACTGCAACTTGGTCAATGTGTATCCCTGATAGTGGATTTGATTACTCACCAGCAAAGACCACTTTACACCATGTTCCAGGTAAGCAGTATTTACACCAAAGACTTTGAGAATAACAAACTCTTTTATGTATAGTTGTGAGATTTTGTTTACATGTATTTGCATGAAATATATGGAGATAACGAACAGTACTCAAGCTCAAAAGTCCATTAAACAATACAAAATAGGAGCAGAACAAACACGGACCTCCAAATCAGAGGTGGGATCAGGTGCCATGGAGGAGTGAGCATCCCCTGCCGACCGGTCACACCCGCCGTGTGCTCCTTGTCATGATCATCCAATAAAAAAGGAGAGCAAAGTAGGGATTACATTGTATATCTGTGAGTCTGTCAACACTTTTGTTGATTTATAGTTCAATATAGAATTTTTTAATCATAGTTAAATTAAATTTTGATAAA